GTGATAATAATAGTTATTGCTCACTCATCATTGTTTATTCTCTTTATTTTTTTTACTATCTAGTAATATCATTGTCACGATTACTGAGGATTATTACTACAACTTATTCAAAAAATTTTTATGTAGTTATTTTTCATTTAATCATTCATTACAATGAATATAATTATTAGGAATGTTATCATGATTAATAAATTATGAATTTCGCTCGTTAATATCAATTATTACTGTTGTCATTATTATTAGCAAAGCTTATAATTTCTTTTTCATGGTGTTTTCTGACTGAGTTGAATAAATTACTGCTGAATCATATTACTTCATAGTTCAGAGTATTCGCTGATACTCGGAAAATGAGTGAAACTGACAATCTATTCTTTATCCAATTCTTTAATGATGGTATAAAGATTGTTTTGCTTGATCATTTGAAGTTTTTCATCTGGCATTTTACTTTTCTCATTTTAACAGATTTTTGCTAATTTCGGCTTCTGTCTTCCTTAGGTAATTCATATTCATCACTATGATTTGCTTGTATAGTCGAAAATGAAAATTTAAGTACTTGTTTCACATCAGAACAAAATCAGTTCAGACACTTTTTTGCTTAATATGATATAATGATTGTTTCTCAAATTCTTAAATTAACGGGATGAATTTGATTTGACTATTCGATTTACTTATGACTTGAAATAATGAACTTTTCTGATTCACGTCTCAGATTTCAACTGTTTGCTTTTTTCATTACATTACTTGTTGAAATCAAATTATTTTTTGATAAGTGCTTAATATAATCAATTTTTTATTTTTTTCGAAACTAGCTGCTATCATTTTATTCATTATGCATTGAATAAATCCTATTTGCAGTACTAAATGTTTAGCCTATTACAATCAATATTCTGTAAGATTTTCATTTCAATCATCAATACTTTCATGTTTATTATTAATTTTCTGATTTTTGAGTTTAGTGTTTTGAGTCCTTACTTAAGTATGTAAATACCAGTACTGTTTGCTGTGCTGGTCATGCATAGTGCTTTATATTATTAGCATAAAATATGATGAGTTACTACATTATTTTATCGCCTACAAATGAAAAAGTTTTATTGCAACTGAATGTAGTCATTGAACTTGCTTGAATATATTTACAGTTTTCCATACACTTTTTGTATCTTAGTTGGATTAATGATAAATGCCTAAAAATTTAAGAAGTAATGATTGTTAGTTACCACTGATGGAGGACTTTGATCAAAACAATCCAAAAAACGGTGATGGATACCAGTGCAATAAATTTTTAGCTGAGGAACAAAATGATCCTGTAACTATCTATTTTTATTCTTTGATCAAAAAATTCATTCGCTTATTTTACAAACCATTTCCACATCAAGGTAAATTCAAAAATTCAACTTGGGAGAGCGCTTACTTTGCGATTGTTATCTGTAATTATTTTGCATTGATATGCATTTAATAAGATATGCACTTTAAAAAATGTATTTTACTTCACTGTTTATTCGCTAACTGCTAAGTACAATTTTTGATTTTTATCTTGTTTTTTACAGAATAGAGGCAAAAAATGGTAACTAAAAATTTTTATCATTTTTGAGTAGTACTTCAAAAGAAAGAAAAGCTAATTTTTAATATTTTAGCTCTCATAAGCAGAGAAACATTAGAAGGCAACTGGAGTTATTTTCAACAGTCTTTTTCTGGAACATATCGGCAGGTTTGTTGTGTCGATCTTACTGAGGAATAATGAGAAAAACTGAGGAACTAGTTGAATAACTAATTTATATATATTCTCATCATATATTATCATTATATATAATAAGAATTCAAAAAGTTTTTGGTAGTGGAAAACAAAACATTACTGTTACTATCAAGCCAATTTTGTAAATAAGGATATGTGTATAGGATAAGCTTAAAATAAGTCACGTCATGGTTTTTAATGGTTGTAGCTATTATGCTTAGTAATCAATCATAATTTGAATAATGAGAAAAGCTTTACATGTAGCCACCGTTCTAAAATTTCGCATGTTTTTGGATTTATTATTTGTTATTATTCTTTCATGCATTGCATTAAATTCAAGATATTGCGTGAAACTAATTGCATGCCTGATTAAGAGGAAGCTAAATTAATATAAACCAAGTCATACGGTTTTGGGCAGTATTCATTTTATATGTATATTCTTAACATTATTACTGACTAAATTTTTTATTTTAGTGGCTTGATTACGAGTTATGGTGGATTATTATTGGCTCATTAACTATTATTACTATGATTCTGTTTTCCGTCTTGTACATATTCTACACTTTGATCAGTTATTGTATTTCTTCAAGTAAAAAGAAAACAACAGATCAAAAACGTGACTGTTGTAAACGTTATTTTCTCAACTTTCTAATTACGCTGTTCGTCCTCATCGATGTGTAAGCGTATCATATCTGCTTCAAATTTTATTTCTTTGCATTACTCTACTTTAGCAGAGGAATGAATACTTTTAAATTTTTTACAAAAATCTAAAGATATTTATTTATCTTCGATAATTTTCAAAGGTTCTGTGTGCTTTAATAATGTAGAAGGAATAAAAAAATTTGTTGCAAATTTCAACAGAAGACGTACAAACTGAAAATGAAAACGATAAAATGAAAAATGAGACTTAAGAATTGTAAAACTTTATGAGTAAAGAGGTTGATTACAGTTGACTGATAGTTTTATGAGTGCAAATTTTTGAAAATTAATGCAAGCACTTTTCATTTGCTTACTTCGAAAACTTTCACTTTTGTTGAATTCGAGAGAGAACTCTTTCAAAAATAAATTAGTCGAGTTAAGAACTTCATGCAGAAACTTTTTATATGAATGCCTTGTTTAACAAAATAGGAAGGCTGAGTTCGAGCAATACTATGTAAGTTGTGCATTTTGCTATCATAGTTATAGGTGTAATCAGCAGATTTTTGATGACAACAATAAAACAACGGTAAAACAAAGGATTTTTGAAAAGTTTCTAGTTTATATTTTAGATTTGCGGTATCTTCATTACTTGTAACCAGTCAGTATGCAGAATATGGAGCTGATCAGCTACCTCATCGTCTCAGTTACTGTATCGATGATCTCTCATATTATAAAAAATCAACTGATCAAGTTTACATTTTTGTCATTATATTTCTTCAAGAAGAATAAGTGTGCGTAATGAATATTACTAAATTAAGATAAAATAGTATTATTATCTTAAAATTACTATTAGTAGTAAAAAACTAATAAGAAATTTGGCGATAAAATTTTAATTTTTGATGTAAAGTTTCTAATGATACATTATTTATATTAGTTGTTTGCAAGTTTGTCTTCAAGCAAATTAATGCTAGTTTGGTGTTTTACTTTCATGAGTATTATTTCAGATAATTCGAAATACATTAATTAATGATTTTCAAAAAGTAAATGAATCTTTATCGAAACTCATTGTCTCAGGTGGCTCACCCATTGTTCATCGAGTGAAGAAAATTACCGGTGCACATACAATCGATTCGTTTCTTAACATTTCAAATGGTTTGTTCATTGATCGAAATTCTCTAATGCTTTAAAAAATGCTTAGAAAGTGTATCAGGAGTAAAAATTTTCATAATTTCAATGGCCCAAGGTTGAAGATTTGAATTTTTCTTCACTATCTGAAAATGATGCCTTCAATTTTATTGGAAGTAAAAGTTCTTCGTCTCAAAAACTTCCAAATTTTCATCTTTGGACAGCAGAATTATTCAGTTCTGAACTGCAACAATGAAATTAAAGTGAATCTAAAAAAGTCAGAAATAAATAAATTCTGATGGTCCTAAGGAAATTCATGCACAATTTCCATTCTTAGCCTTTTAATTTCACTTGTTTGCTACTTTTCAGAGGCTCAGGAATTACTGAAACTTACTATTGGTTACGAAAATGACCTGAAGAAAGTCAATAGTGAATTACTTTCATTGAAGAACGAATTATTTAAGCTTTATCGGACTTTCGTAAGTGAACTAGATAACTGCATCCATCATGATTCAGAACTTGTCAAAAGACGTTGCCAGGAGGCAGAAAATGAGCTAGTTGATATTCGGAACATAACGCTTCATCTTCGACAAGTGAGACAAATATTTTAATTTCAAATTCTATACTTTACAAAAGTTTTTTGAGAGGAATCTAAAAAATAATAATTCAAAAATAATTTCATAGTGATTAATTATTAGCTAGTATTTGGGTGAAAAAAGAGTAAGAAAAATTTACTCTAATTTATTTTTATATGCCGTTTTAAAACTTTTTTGAAGGGCATTCTCAGTAGTGAGACTAAAGAAGCTTTGAAAATATTAGCAGAATCGAATGTAGCTGAAATATTCGGTGCAATAGCCACAGATTTCAAAGAGAAAGAAACAGAATTAAACAGAAAAGTACAAGAAAAACAGCAAGGTGTCTTTCTCATTTGCGCATTTGCATTTTAAAATTTATTTTGTTGCAATTGTCCGCTGATCATTATTTGAATCCTTTTTTACTCTTATTTTAATTCTTAGAAAACATTTTGCGCATGCACTGTTGTGAGATAATTCCCGCTTTACAGCTATACAATTCACCATGAAAGAAATTCAAAATGATTTGATGCGTATTGCGGATGCTTTATCTACACAAATTCGACAAATTAAACCTGAATTATTATACGACCTACTAAAACAATATATGGGGACCACTTATTGTACAGTTGTTCAATACACGTAAGGCTTTTGTTCTTCCTAATATAGACAATAAAACATATTTTCAAAAGGAAAATAAAAATACAAAAAGTAGTTAAGTAAGCACATACCCTCACTACCGCTGTGAATCAAAAAAATAAGTTTTTCAATAGCTTTAGGTCAAATAAACTTAGTCATTTATTAGATTTTAATTTCTCAGACTTTTTTTAAACTTTAGGTGGTATGTTTCGTTAACCTTATGTGCTATATTTTCGTTGAAAGCGCTTTATTTTCTTTTTGCTTTATGCTATGGCTGCTTTGGACGTCGACCAAATGATTATCGAAATGATTGCTGTGTTCGATCAACTGGTAGCAAACTTTTTTTCTGGTAGTTTACTTTTTATTCACTTGTTGTTTTAAGTCAAGCATGAATTTCCTCATTTTAACTATGAGAATGATTTTTGTTACATAAAACTTTAGAGCAAAATGGTGCGAGCAGCCGTTTTGAATCACAAAACCAACTGATTTTGGCTTTTCTTATATGTTTGTGAGTAGAATTATATTCTATTGTGGTTTGCAAAAAAAAGAAAATGATATGAAGAATAAGTTTACTGCACTAGTTCAGTGAAAACAATTGTATTATTCCAAAAACTTTACTGCAATGGAACTAACATTAAAAAGTAAATATATTTACAGTGGAATTTGGTTATCAGTATTACTTTTGCCTTTTATTGCTGTACTAACAGCAGCATTATTATTTGCTGGAGTGAATATTTATTCACTTGTTTGTTGGCCTTTGGATGATCCATTTTCAAGACCTGATATGCTGTCGGTAGTTCTTTTTTCAAGATTATAACTACTTTCACTCAATGACATCTATAATATTGCGCTCATGGAAATTATACTTTTTATTTCAACTAATAAGAAATGAAATATACAGTTGACTAATTGTAAATTTTCAGCTTAGTGAAAGGATGCTTGATGTATGGCGTGGAAAACAAGTTGCAGAAGACCTATCACCATTAATAAATCAGTTATCATTAGCAGATATGATTCGGTCCTGTGAACGAAACGAGACTCTTTATCATATCTTTGCTATGGATAAAAAGTATCATTTGTATGATTTACGCGAATATGGGCAAGAATTATACGATCGTTTAGATCTAAACATTCAGACAGCTTTTTCTGATATAAACTTATCTAAGCCCTTTACAACTTTTGCAACACCGGAACAACTTCTAATGCTGCAAAAAATTTTCAATGTTTCCATTGGATCAAATATTCAAGAAATTTTATTTCAGGTTTTTATTTATCTAATTCATTTTTTTTTGAATGTAGAAATATTACTTTTCATAACTCACAAAACTTCTGAGCAGATAAATTAATTTCATGGAAATTTTATTATACTTAAACATTATTTTGCGTGTCAAAGGGTTCAGTTTTTAATTTTTCTATTTTGTTAGGTACACAATAATATGGAACAACTTGAACACATTCCTAGAGTTATTAGCATTATCGAAGAAAAGTATGTCGGAAAGAAGCTTCCAAATGTTATTCAGTTGATTGCTGATCAGTTAAGAACTATGCAGGTTACCATTTAGATTAGTGGCTCAAATTACGGAAAACAATACGCGTATGTTGCAATGCATACAAATGTTAAAAATTGTTTCATTTTCAACTTTTGACTGAGTAAAATTCATTTTTGGAGAAAAATCTTTCGACAGATTTTTAAAATTTTATCTTAATTGCAGTTTATGAGACTTAATTATATACTAAAATCAAAAATTAAAGTAAACGTTGTTTGATATCCATTAAATTTAATCATCATCTCAAATATAAGCATTTTTTAATATCGTAAACAGCACGTTTGTTGCTTTAAGATAAAAACTGGAAATCCACTGCAGCGAAATTTAGCTACGATTTCAAAACTGTTATCTGAACTTGAAGATCGGCTAACGCGGATTATCTTACCAGGTACAACGCTATCCAGCAAATTGCAGCATGCACAGGCAATGCTGTCATCAAATTTTAATGAATATTTTCGTGCAGCTGCTGATCAGTTGGTACATGAAATAAACGAACAAGTTGAAAGATATATGGGACATGTTCAGAAGCAGGTTCAATCGGTTTTTTTGCCACAAATATTAATGAAAACAGTTTCTCACCGAGTCTTGATATTTGCAGTCTCCAAGGATCGGGAATATGGATATATTTTGGCAATTTCATTATGGAATGTGTAGTTGTGAAGATGTTGAAAAATCTTTTTTTCACATGATTTTCATTTGATCCAAGAAATTACTGCTAATCATGATTTTTTTATCAAATGATTTTGGTACTTTCTTCTGACTTGAGATAAAATTGTCATTTCTGTTTGATCATTTATTAATTTAATTACAGATGTCAACCAATGCATCAAGTTGTATCCCATTATCGGAAATCGCAAAGGGAGCTAGTGCTGCATTTTGCCAATATACTGTCGACCCATTCGTTAGTTTTGCAACTTCAAGATTTTAATGTTATTTTTCGGCATTTTGCCCTAATTTGAAATGCTTGATTACTGCGCAAATGCTCATTGATTTCTGTTACTGAGTTCTGATGGAGTTTATAGCCTTTCTTTGTTGCAAATCATTTCTTAACTGAGTCACATGTTGATTAATTTTTTTGAAATATATCTTGAAAACAGTTTGCCTGCTTCAAGTACGAACACTTTTAATCTGAAAATCAGTCATTTTTTAGAACGGTATTTGGGCATCAATGCTTATCAGTGCTATTTGTACCTTACCATTAATCATGCTTGGATCTGCAGCATCATCATTGTATAAAAAAAAATTTCCTTATCCACAATAGTAATTTTTACTTCTTCACTATGAAAGTAAATAATACTATTGAATTCCACATGATCTACAATTCATATATATTGTGAATTTATCTACTTTTCATTTTTTTTAGCATTGTCAATGAGCCTGTTAATGGAGATGGGCAAAGTGCATTCGGCGCTCTTGTAACTGATTTTTATGATAACCGAAGCAAGCAACATAAATTGTAAGTTAATATGACTATGCGAACATTGTATAATTCATTACTAAATCATTCGACATTAAATAACACTGTCATTTTTGCATAAGTTCAACACTCAGTTTTTGTTAATTTATAATTTAAAAGATTTTTTAGAGCATATTCAAACGATCCTTATACTTTGTGTTACGGTTATCCATCTTTTTATCTACAAACCCGGAATTAATGGATCAGAATATCAGATTCGGCTATTAAGCTATTAGCCATTTGATCAGATTTTGAACGTACCTTTTTTTTTTGTAAGAACTTAAGTACATCGGCTTTTATAGTTAGTTATCTTCATGTAATGAAAAGCTGTGCATAAATAATGTGCATATAACTGCAAGAATTCACTGAACATCAAAAAAAGGGAAAATTTCATTTCATATATTTGCTAAATTTCGTTAAAAGTGCGGGGAAAAAACAAGTGTCTTAAATTTACATCAGATTTCTGCATCATTTTGCTGTGTAACCAACACGTAACACAGAGTCTAGATAATATACTTTCATAGGTCTTGTGACGTCGCGTACTTCAGTGTCATTTTAAAACATCATAAGCTAAATTTAATAAATTTTGTATTATTTTTAGCATTGTTATTAATACCATAAGAGTATGGAATCGGAGATTGCGAAAATGTAACGAAATTACTGTGCAAATAATTTATATGAAGCGGTAGTGCTTAAAGAGAACTGTCATAATGACTTGCTATGAAAATTAAGAAATTACTTGGATATTACGTGAATAGCCCTACTATAGTATGGAACATTAAATTTGTCGAAAGTACTACATTTACATCTTCGAGTGTAAGTAATGCATGAAAGGCTTGCAAAAAAATCCGATTTCTGATCAAACAACATCATGATGTTCAAAATCTAGTTCGATTTGAAAATTGCTTGAGATTAATTGGTTATTCAATCACTTTTTTTCCAATAATAAATGATTTGTTAATGGAACATTGACAAAAAGGTTAGTGATTTGAGAATAAGGTGAATAAGTTTGTTTAAAAATGCAGAAAATCTGTGAACAAGCAGCAATGTAAATGACTGAAAATCCTTTGAATTGCGCAAAACCTGGTTACTTGCAGAGTGTTTGTAGTATGGGAATATAACTTGCGAAAGCGTACTGATAATGAATCGCTGTTGTGGTGTGAACATTTAAGTGATGAGAAGGGAGATAAAGGAGGTGATAGGGTCTTTTGCTTGTTATCCTTTTTTAGTGGTGATTTTTCTCACAGGGTGTTGAATAATTGCTAGAAAGCGACCACCCTGATCGTTCCTACTAGACTAATCAGCTATTCTAATCAAAGTCATTTTGGATGCTTATATGACTAACAAATTCCCGCTTCGCCCCCTCATTTTCGTCTTCTCAATTCTCCTAAATAATGATAAAAAAAGTGAAAAGGATTGGAAAGTGTGTTATTCATGCTATCCATCGTCCTTTTACCAACCAAAATTGCTTATTTTTCCTTCGTTTCATTTTCAAAGTAATCATGCTGCAGAAAAAAACAGCGAAACTTCCAATGTTGCCTAAAAATTAATCTTTTTGCTATGTGGGCTGTAATTTCCCATATAGTTTTATATGCACTACTCATTTCATTTAATATTATCACTGCCTGATAATACCGATATTCAAGATTTCGGATTTTTTTTTAATACTACTCAAACAGCTGAAGAGATGAACTCAATCGCTCTTTCACTTTGTTAGACATTTATTTATTTTATAAGAAAAGCGAGAAATTAAAAAAAATTAATTCTATTCACACTTTGAAATGCTGTAAGTTCATTTCATCCCTTTTAAGAAAATTTAATAGAATATCGGCTTCTAATTATAATATTGTTTGTAACTGCAGAACTGTACAATACTGAAAGCATACACACACAGCAAACAGGAAAGGAGGAAGGAAGATAAAAATTACCAAGAATTCCTAAATACATAAGATCATCTGATTATTTGAAGCGAATGCTAAAGAAAGTCTACAAATCTCTCAGATTTATATGAAAATAAACTTCTCACAAGGTTACTGATTTAATTCCAGAATCTTCAGACTCAAGAAACATCTTTATCCTCTGCATTCAAAAATTTTTGTGCACTTCTAAGAAAAATCGAAATCATAATCCTTACTTCAGATCTCCCACATCGAATTCAAAAGAATCTCAATATTCATATGAGTATCTGTAAACAAAAATTTTCGAGACTTACTGCACATATTTCACAACATACCGTCAAAACCTGAGTAGGTTCACTAGTCAATCACGGCGCAAAGTACTCACTCATATTTCAATTCGTTCATATTTTCTTATGCATTTTACACTTCACATTTTATCAAGAAATTTGAGATTTCAAACTTTCATTTTCAATAATTATTAAACATGAGAAATTCGGATGGTATGTGATGTCTATATTGAACAGTGAAAGTAATTCAACGACTTGATGCATATCCATTCGATTGTAGATGACCATCACAGGAGTGAAAATCACGCACACAAATTCGCAGAGGACACAATTTTTCAGTGTGTTATAAAAGTTGCTTAAGATCATGAGTTTCAGAGTATTAATTACTGAATTTTTAAGAAGTAATATCGAACAAGAAATGAGCATGTGTCAAGTTGATTTATGAGAAATTCAGAACAAATAGCCAACAAAACAATTTCAAATATAAAATGATTAATCAAAGATCACAGTTATTAGCCAAAGTCAAAAGCAATTTAGGAAGGTAAAAGTTTTTGTAAATTTCAGGATGATTCGGGTGATGCTTCAAACTTCTTCACATTAACTTTTTGTTAGTGATAGATAATAAATACTATAGTGTGTAGCTTCCCTACTATTTTGGCACTCCATTCTAACCAACCATTAACCAAAAGAAAGACGAAAAGGAAGGAGAGGTAAGCGAGGTCAGCCGTTTCAGGCATTGATCTTTTTATCGATTTTAGCAGGAGAAAATGACCTACTTGGTTCTTGACCTCTGCAATTGTCTTCTATCTCATTTTCTTGGACACTGGCGTTAACATCATGAAGGGATCGAAATAAGCATTAAATTATCTAATTATTAAAAAGTTAGGATTTGAATGTTTTTAACACTGGTAATAAACAAGTGGATAGATGAAACATGCCAAGGTACCTCAAAAATTTCTGATATATCTCTATTCCAGACTCACGTTGATCTGGGTGCATTACTTGGTACAATAGCGGTAACAATGAGAGGACCAGCATTCCTTATTTTCCCTTTCGATTTGGTTCTTATTTTTTCCAAAAAATCTCGTAGGTTGGCACCACCAGTCACAACTGCTCTTCTTTCTCCTGTAGCACACTCTTGAAAATTTTCCTCCTGTACCAAAACATTTATTACTTTGTCGGTTTGTATGTCTGTATGGTTCGACTTGTATGTTAATACATTGCAATGTAAGTGACCACGTATAGGTTATACGTATACTCATATCTGCGTTTGTGCATATTTGTGAGTGCAGACGTATCTGATATTTATCTGGGATTAGTAGTGTCCTTACTTTTTCTTTCCCCTGTTCGATTGCTATCCAGTTCTCTTTATTGTCCTTAAAATTGTCTTCATCATACTGACAATATGAGCGGAGAAAAGTACATTGCTCGACGTCCAGTCAAGCCACGTACGTGAAATTTTATCTCTTTTGCATTTCTTACTGCTTTAGATTTTCGCATTCCATCTCTACTTTATGAAAAATTTCCTTATTTTTTCAAGGGTGAAGAGCATGGGAACTATTTTGCAGAAAACGAAGATCAATAAGATGTTGTGTAGAGAGAGGTTAGGGTGTGGAGATTTGCAAAGGTTGGGTCAAAGGTTATGAGCAAATGTGGTGGCCGCGCCCCCCCATACAATATAAATAAGAGGTAGTCGAATACTGAGCCAGTTTCTTGTACTCCCGTTAGCAAGTGCTGATGTTGTTGCATACTGGATATGGTTATTGTTCTTAAGTGATTTTAACTTCGTGTTGCACTTTCTGATTATGGTCTTACTCATTATCCAGATGTAAGATCCACGAAGGGATTTTATGTTCGTTTGAGTGTACACTTACAGTATTTAACGTGCTTATTTAGATTATATTTAAAAATGAAGGTTAGCGTTGTCCCATCGTATGAGTCCTTATAAGGATTAATTTGCAATTCAAGGCTGGTATACATTATTCGTTTCGTTTACCCTGTATGAATATAAGGTGGCCCACGGTCAACCCGTAGATCCGAACTTATGTTAGTACTTTTAAAATGTGAACATGAGCTCGGAACTCGGGTACACTGAGTGCTGCCAGATACCATCCTACTTCTATCCACCAGTATAGTCATAACACCGCAAATTGCATTGTCTTAAGTGGTCAAGTTTCATTTATTTGCAGGTATTTTTGTTCCTCTTCATTTCATCTCTTGAAGTGTTAGGAGAGAATAGCGTTTTGCTCAATTAGATTATGAGTTCAGTAGCTGTGAAATGCATTATATTTCAATGTGTAGCGTGATAAAATACTGGTAAAGATGCTCGCCTTCAGCATTTCCAGTCGTCATTTGTATTTGATTATAAATGATATACGACGTATCTCAAAACTGGCGTATGCGTTTGTTCGATTCCTTGTCAATGCTAGCAAAGTATACGTTGCTGAATGCTGATCTATGGCATCGTATGAAACAAGCACTTCTGTATCTCTGGCAATGAAGTAAACACGCATTTATCACTTTTCTAATTTTGATTTGTTTTTCTCTGTTTCATGTTAAGCTTTACTCCAGTAGTGCATTGTTGCAGAAATATCTTACATTTTTATTTTAACCATTTACCTGTTATGTATTTAATGGTAGGAAACTGATGTGAAGTATAACTGAACGTTCATAAAATAAGTTATTGCTATGCAGAGAAAATTTCCCGTTGAACTAGTAGATAGTTCGCTTATAATTGAATACTATGTAGATTTTTTTATTTCATTCATGGATTGTTATTTGTTCTTAATTCTCAAAAGCAGAGGTCAGTAACTGAATAATTGATTCCGTAGTAAATCGCTTGCAGATGATTATTGTACTTCATGTAAATAACTGGAGTGGTTTGATCTCTTTACTTTATTCGTTTGTTCTTACTCATTTGTCGTCATCTGTATTTTTTGAACGCAATAAAAATTTAAATAAAGAGCAGATGCAATTCTTGGTACCAAATCTTGCGTAAAACTGGCAGTCAAGAACTTATATCATTTGTCAATGCAAATTAAAACTTTTTTCAATATTTTTCTGCATATATAGCTGAAACTTCTTGTGTAATACATGTAGTAACAAGGAATTCTACTGCCTTCAGTGCGCTAGTTAATTTAGCTACCGGAATTTGGTAATAGGATAAAGATGGAAGAATCGGCAATTGTAGCATAAGACAGTAGGTCATGCAAGAACCGGTGTTAGATAAAAAGGGAAGTTTGCGCTAATAATTATGCAGTGGATCGATGCTGAAATGAGTATTCGCGTGAAGGTATGAGTTTGCGCTTGTTGCATTGCTTCAGTGCTACAAATCGTAACTATGGATAGGTCTAACCTTTGTCATGTTTGTCTACCTATACTTTTGTATTATTGAAGTTCTAAAAACATCCCAAAGCACGTTACTGATATTTTGCACATCACGGGTTTGATTGTCTCATTTTTTCAGGACCAGTTTACATTTTCGAAAAATACAAAATAACCATCACCCATTAAAGTTGACGTTTGTTTCTTCCTCTGAAATTCTGGACCCTTTTCAGGCGTGTAAATAAGAAGCTAAAGGAAGATGAATTACATAACATGGTAATTATTTGCAGTATCTTATGAAACCATCCGGTCAAGTTCATTGTTGATGAATGAATGCATCTCTGCTGCAATGTCTAACGGAGGCAAGTAAGACCTAGTCTCAAAATATGATGAACATGAATAGGGTCTTTTCAGTTGAAAGAAGCGATTGCATGATGTTATTTCGAGAGCAGGTTGACGTTAGAGCCATATGTTCATCTATAGTATATAGCCAGCTTACCAATATCTACATGATCTAAGTGCGTTTTAACTCGCTGAATTTTTGTAGTAAATAAAGATTCAAGCTTTCGTTTTTCAAAGGAAATAAAAGTTTTCACTTTTCAAAGGAAAAAAAATTGGCTCAAACTGTATGGCGACAAATTCTCGCTTAATGGAGGCATCACTATTTGAGGGAACAACACACAAATAGAGAGGAACATGATCCGGCCCGCTATTCGCATCAAATATTGAATAATAAAAATTTGTTGGGAAAGACTGCTGTACAAAAGTATTAAATTCAATAAATTACTCATATGAATCTAGTGATTTGATGCATTAATGTTGAAAAATTTTTATCAAGCAAGAAACGGTTATGTTCAATAAAAACCATTGCTTTCATCTGGATGTGTGATTAGCGTGGCTGTTTCCAACATCTGGATGAGTGATTAGCAATACTTTATGTACTTCATGTCGGATGGGAGTTTTCATTTCGTTCCGTTCGAAGTATTCATATTGCAAGTAGTTTAGCATAATCAATGTTGAAATTTAGTCATTTTGGGAAACTTATGATACGCGTAAGGCTGAGGGTTGGATGGAGGGTGTGATATAGCCATCCGTAATTATTGCCTCTTCTCGTATGGGTGTCTTTGTACAAGGCAGACTGTGTTGTTTCTCTTTCTGTTAGATATGATTGTACTGAATTAGATTTCTAATTTGATAGTCTTAGATTGATTCACTGGTCAATTGCGTATTGGTGGTTGATTCGATTCTTCATTTCACTCGACATTTATTATTATAGGGCGACAGAACACGACTTGAACTGAAGAAAGCCCTCATTTTATTGAAATAAATACCGTATGCATTTAGTTATATATATGTATATGGTGCTGCTCTCCTTTAACAGTAACAAATGTGACTTAGTTTTGTTTCAATAAGACTTTTTCACCCATTTAATGTTAAATCTCTTTACTCCCGTCAGTGTGTTTCATTTTGTACGTAGGAGAAGGTCAGTCTTTTTAATCAGTCTGCTCGAAAACTTTCTGATCAATTTTCATTTATAGGGATTTGTGTTTTGTTAATTTATGTATATTGTAAATAGAGCTACCTTACTTTTTCTATTTGGAGGAATTTAAGTTTGGTACTTGGTGTAACAGGTGATTTCCATTAATGACCATTTAATAGGAAACGAGAGGAGATGTTTTGCATTGTACCCAACAAATATTCAGATTTCTTAAATAATTTATGGGAAAGAATTTAAAATGTATTTTAAATATTTTTTTTAGCTTCTTACTACCTGTTGCTGTAGAGGTTAGAATCAAATATCTGCAATGAATCGGGAAAGTAGTCGTGATAAATTGTAAGTTTTGTCGACAAATTAAAATATTGAGATCCGTCGCAGTGTCCAGGAATTGTGTTGTTTCTAAAAGTAGTTGAATGTTGCTTGTAGCAATGGAGGTGGTCGTGGCTTTGGTAGTGGAGGTGGGAGGGGGGGAACGAGTAGTCGTGGTGGCCTACGTTCATTTGGTGGTCGTGTTGGTGGATCTGGAGGTAGTGGACGTTTCGGTAGTGACAGAAAATATGATTTCGGTAATATATTTACTTATTTGTTCTTCATAAATCGGGATTTTTTGTTTTGCAATTCGTTCTTAACTAGCATATGTATGTCAATATATGGTATGAAATATGACTGTCATTTTCAGGTAATCGTTCTGGAGGAAATAGTCTTCGTCCAATTGACTGGACTCGTGAAAATTTACGACCATTTGAAAAGAACTTTTATCACGAGCATTCTGCTGTTACACGCCGAGAACAGGTTTGCATTTTCGAGTACTAGTTCATAGCCAAAAGTTGTGAAGAAGAATAAGAGTAATTTGAAATTCGAAATTCATGCATGCCGTATTTCAAAAAGTAAAATGACACTAAAATGAAGAGATTCTGTTTGTATAAGATTATTAGATTACGTGTGCTCCTTCAGGTCGACTTGGATAAATGGTTTACGGACAATCAAGTTACTGTGGAAGGGAATGACCTTCCTCGTCCAGTTTTTGAATTTCCTGAAGCAGGTTTCCCTCCAATCATCACTGAGATGCTTTATGCACATTTCCAGAGACCGACAGTTATTCAATCGATTTCATGGCCAATTGCTTTGAGTGGTAGAGATATGGTTTCTATTGCGAAAACCGGTTCTGGAAAAACTTTAGCGGTAACTTATTGTCTTTAATATTAGTTTCGAACATATGGCTCTTAAGTTTTTGCTTTCTATTTATGAAATGAATTAAGTATTGTGTTGCATTTTTCAGTTTATCCTTCCTGCTATTGTTCACACGGCTAGTCAACCACCGAGAGGTCATCAGAAAAGTCCCTCTGTATTAGTTCTTTTACCAACTAGAGAACTTGCTCAGCAGGTTGAAGAAGTCGCAAAAGACTATTGCAGGGCTACAAGTTTATCAATAACTTGTTTATTTGGTGGTGCTCCTAAAGCAGCACAAGCTCGTGATCTTGAAAGAGGTCAATTTTTTCACTGTTTTATAATTTTTCGTATTTGAAATGATTATGTGAAAGTTTTAAACTGTGACATTGGTTATAAGTTGCAGGTGTTGATATCATAATTGCGACACCAGGACGTTTGATGGATTTCTTAGAACTGGGCAAAACCGATCTTCGAAGATGCACATATCTTGTGCTTGATGAAGCCGATAGAATGTTAGACATGGGATTCGAGCCGCAGATTAGGAAGGTTGTATCTCAAATACGAGTGAGTCTCTTTTCACTCAACAATTCAATTAGTGCTTTTCATCTTCCTTACTCTGGTCACATTTTCATTACCGCAAAACAAAGAATTTCAGCCAGATCGGCAGACACTAATGTTTTCGGCAACTTGGCCAAAAGATGTTAGAAAATTAGCTATGGATTTCCTAACGGATGCAGCTCATTTGAATGTTGGCTCATTAGAATTGTCTGCAAATCATAATATAACACAAATTATTGAAATCATTGATGAATCAAATAAGCAGCAGCGTCTTATGACTATACTTGGGGAAATCATGAATAAGGTATTCCATATGTACATCATTCCGAAATTTAGTTCTTGTTAAATTGTTTTGCTTGTGATAATTGTTAGTTGACAGGGTAATCAATATCTTTGTTCTTCGGAATTTGTATGCAGCATTGGCCATATTGTTATGGATAAAACAAATGATTTTCAAAGTAGGACAGTGATTATCAGGAAATTATTATTGGGAAAATTAGGCATCATGTATGGAAAGAAATCTTTTATTAGTGCCTTTCATCTTCACAAAAAATCTGAGTTGTAGTGTAGTACAGAAGTAAATTAGATCAAATTTTGGTTTTGAAGTAGCTTTATTCAAATGCTTAAAATTGGTTCAAAGAAATTGAAACATCTGCATACTTATAAATAGTGGGGTCATTTATAGTGGCTGAAAGTGGTAGTTATCATTTCTAAGCATACTGATCTCTGTTTTGTTGAAGCGACTTAAGACTTCACACTGAGTTATTTCTTATACTGAGGATGAAAAAATCGTCACAATTAGGAAGACGTCTGCGATGCATTTTTGTAGATTAGTGAATGAAAATTATTATTTAATAAGAAGTTCTTGGAATCCTCTGATGACAGTTTATGTTTCAGTTGGTATTCTTTAACATTACTTAGGAGATCACAATGAATTGATATAGTATGCATCTTGCATACTTGTTCAAGAAAAGTTCTTGCAGGAAGATCTTAAAGAGATCTTGCAGGAAGATTGTAAGACTATAATATTTGTGGAAACAAAGCGTAAAGCAGATGATTTAACACGTTGGATGCGAAGAGATGGTTGGCCAGCTCTGTGTATTCATGGTGACAAAGGACAGTCGGAACGTGACTGGGCACTAAATGGTATTTTTGGTTATAAAAAAAGAGAAATAAGCAAGATTCATTTTAAGAAACAGGCATCGTAGTGAACTGTGGTAAAATTATCTTCCACTGTTGTTTTTGGTTTATAAGGAATCTATAAGTTCATTTTTCAGAATTTCGGACTGGCAAAACACCAATTCTTTTAGCAACTGACGTTGCTGCCCGCGGATTGGGTAAGTTACCTTACTTAAAAAGTGACTGATAAGATACTGTCACTGTGTGGGATATTAAGGATTTGAAGAACTAGTGGAAATTTTGACAGAATTAGCATTCGACGAGAGTATATAGAGTATTTAAATGAATATAAATGTTTTTGCCATTTCGAGCTTGAGATACGAAATGTTAAGTCATTTGATTTAATGCATAGAATCGAAAAACTAACACAGAAGTGAAGTGCTGCTTTGATGGATTAGAAATTTCCCTTTCATTAGGCCTGGTATGCAGCATTTCTGTTTTTCAAGCAAGCTAGTATCATTTTTAAAGTATTAGTGATCTCGGATGAGGAAGATCTGTGCTTATGTTATGGCTCTGGCCAGTGACTACTCTCTATCGCGCGTAAAATGACATTCTAATTTTATTTGAATAATTTTTTTACAATAATTGGAATGATTTTAATCACCTTTTATTTTGCATTAGTTTCTAAACTTCAGCTTTCGAATTTCATTAGAAAACGCAAAAATAAATTAATGTCATCAGATTCACGCGCAAACAAGAGGGGTCATTGTTGTTGCTTATGCAGAATGGTCATTGACTGAAGGGAGGAAGCGTTCTGCGCTTTTAAAAAGGAAAAGAAAGTAGGGCGGGATCGTACGTTTGCACTTTGAGCCTCTCAAATTTCGGAGGCTGAACTACTTACTGTACACGATAATTCATCGACAAGGAATTTGTTTGTTATTGGATTCAGCTGCCACATGACACAGCTTCCTCTACTTGATTACAATGTGACGCACTTGAGAATCCAGGTCAGATTTCTCACTAATAGATTCTCCAAGTTATTGTCACATTCCAATGGTTTTTTACGCCACAAAAGCCATGTTTTTGAGAAAGAAAACACTTAAGTAGTGAACTATTGGCGTTCTACTCCCCCATAAAAGTTTCATTATACTTTGGTCTCATATGTAGGTACAAATTCGGATAATACTTAGCTAGAATTCACTAGGTCTTTTTGAACAGCGATGGTTTTGCGGCATGCTTTACGAATACCACTTCATGTTAGTCCCAACTTTAAAATGTGAGCTTTATTGCAATTGTAGAGTATTCTCGCATGGTCATCATATTCGTTCTGGAATGTGTTGTAGACATCTTTATTTACTAACTCTACATCAAAGTGATGAAAACATTTAGGATGCATTGTGAAGTTCTCTCATTTTATTTGTTTCGCGTAAAGTGCAGCAACTTTGGAAATTTTCACTTTTCATATCTCCAATTTATATTATTTGCTGAGTAAACTCTTGAATGCTAAGCATACTCTCGTTCCGCGAATGCTAAAAATTGCTAGTGGTCAAGTGGTGGGGAGATTTCCGTAAATGAGCATGAATCTTTATATTCATTTTGAACTGATTTCAGATGTTGACGATATAAAGTATGTAATAAACTTTGACTATTCAAATAATTCGGAAGACTATGTACATCGTATTGGGCGGACAGGTCGACGAGATAAAACCGTGAGATAATTTTTTTAAGTTTATGACATGCTCATTTTTTTGTTAATGGTGTCTTACTTTTCATGAATATCCATTTAATATTATAAAATGGATTGGAAAATGTTTAGGGTATCGCGTATACTTTCTTCACTTATGCAAACGCAGCAAAAGCCAAAGACTTAATAAAGGTTTTGGAGGAAGCGAATCAAGCAATACCTGTAGAGTTGCAGCAAATGGCAAAAGATAACTATACTGGAGGACGTGCGAGGTCAGCTTGTAGAAACATTTTTTCCAGACATACTCCCAAGTTTTCGATAGACTAGTAATTGTCTCAAGCAGTGCACGTAGCTCTATATTTACTAATTATCGCAAGCCATAATTTAAGGTATGGTGGAGGATACAAACGGAGTTATAGCGGTGGAAGCAGCGACTTTGCTAAAAAGCCTCGGTTTGATGCGTCTAGCCGGTTGAATTACGGCGAAAGTTGGTGAGGAGATTTCAGCTGGAGCTTTGAAAAGCTAGACTACTGCAGTACACTCTTATAATTTTCCTGTTTCCAGTCTTTAGAGGTTATTTAGTTTAAGGAAAAATCTCTGCATAAGAATCAAGTATGATTTTCATTGCTTCTCATGGCAAAGTACTTTTTCGTTATCGTTTTTCTTAGTTCGTGAGTACTAAATGATCTTACGACATCAATTGATCTTGTAAACTTATTTCCTCCGGAAATCTATAACTGTTGTTTCATTGAAATTGTTTTATCATTTTCCATCAAAATATTTCCTTATTAAAATTTTATTGTTGCAGACATTAGAAATAGTTAGATGTATAACTGAAATCAGAAAATCTCTTGTGACAGAGCTCATGGTAAAGTAGCCCTAGCTAGTCCTAAGTGGGAAGAAGCCTAGTTGTAGTCATAAGTCGTTTCAAAAATTTAAAGGGGTCAAAATATTTCTTTATCAAGGTTTTAATGTTGCAAAAATAAAAGGGGTTGACTGAAAATTACCACTGTTTTTCATTTCTAGTTAGAACTGAGTGGCCATGAAATCTTTTAAGAAGAAGTAGATATTTATCTCTTATAAGTCTTACTTTTCATGATTATCTAGTCACCAACGGTTTTACTCGAAATGCAATTTGGAATAAACACTTTTACCATTTGGCAAAACAATTGCTGAAATCATAAGCATTATTAATCTGGATACTCGCGGTAATTAAAACCGGCATGAACCATTTGAGGTATTCTGTGAATGCCTGTGAGCCCACTTTGTTCTTCCTTAGTCAAAGTAAAAGAGAGTAATTCTTCTGGCGCTTCCTTCGGCATTACTCTGAAAGGTGATCATAATTTCAAAGTACAAGAACAGTATAAGCTTTAATGGGGCACTCGTTACTGTGAGGATACACCTGCCAAATCAAACTTGAAATAAGGAGCTGGGAGTGCGGCTGGCATTTACATTAGTGGCAAAAGTAAGTCTAATAAAGTGGCAGCGGCTTACTTCCTGGGTGGGGGCAGGCGTCGAATTTTACGACCCAAGTAACCATCCTTTTTTTGGAACAAGCCACTAGACATCTTGTAACCAAAGCGCCGATGCATTTGGGCTGAGCCGAAGATTTTTGTGTGGAATTCTGCGTTTGACAGTCGACCTACTGTGGCCATGCATTCTTTTGATAATAAAAATTCATGTTTGTGAGGTAGCTGAAATTAAATGTCAGCTTGTGATATCTGTTGTGTTTCTCATTGCTCTTCATGTAGTACTCCGGCCAGGATACTAGGTCCACTAATGTAAAGCGGAGAACTGAGAATGTATATTTCTGTCCTCCAGAATCCAGGTTCTACACTAATGAAACTTACCCGGATTACAACGAAATCACCTTGATGCCGAATAATCTCAGCACATGTTCCAGCAGTAACAATAAAAACATCATCATCCGTTGATGGGTACTTCCGTTCATTTGGTAACTTCTCCACTGAATTGATGCATGAGCCAGGTACCAATGCTCCTAATGGATACGCATTGCCTTCAATGCCTACAAAATGTTGTTAAATTACATAGTACAGTTCTTTACTATTATTCGGACTATATCAAACTCCAAGTACCAATGTTTTGTGAAAATTTTAGGACCTTCTTGAGGGTTTTCAGGTATATAACACGTTGTACTGATAATCTGTCCAGCCTTCATATTCTCTGTAGCCAATATCCATCGTTTGCCTTCCCAGCCAGCAACAAGTGCGATTAAGCACGTTCGATTCGCATCTCTTCTTATCTCAATAACCTAAAATGAAACGTTAGTAATTATCTTGAAAAACAGTTCATGAGATGTGTGAAAAGATGAAAACTAACGCTAAAATTGATAAACTAAATTTCTGTTTAAAACTGGATTTTGCTTTTCAAGGATGAGACATGAACTTTGTCAAGTATTTAGCATTTCAGATATTACTGGAAAGTAAGTTTTTTAACTCAAGTTATAGAATGTAAATAATTTTGAAACACTGTTACCCGCTCATCATAAGTAGCATCTGGGATTTTTGGACCACGTCGATGGAAATCGATCATAAAATAATCGAACTTGACGCCACCACCAATATGTTGATTGACTTTACGACCTGTAAATTTTATTCGTATATAAAACTGGCCGACAGTTAAAGTTAAACAAAATAGTGGAAAGGATCCACAGATAACGTTGTAACATTCCAAATAATTAAAAATTAAAGTTTGCAAATCATGACCATTATCAGTGCACACTTGTCAGCACCTCAAGCGATTCGATGAATTTTCATGAAACATACCCGGTTTGCAAAAGTTTCAATGAAGGAAGAGCTAACCACACCTGTTTTGGGGTCACGTCCACCGAGACGATTCAAGACCAATGGCTTACACGTGTATGCTCCTTCACATTTCACCTCCAGATCCTCCATATCCCACAAGTACCTCGGTAAAGGTTTCGAACCACGTGCAGGCATGAACCGTTTGGTCAATATGGGAATGGTGCTTGGTAATAAACGACCGTAACGTGCGAAACATGCTAGATCAATGAGCATGGAAAGTTCTGCAACATCTCGCAAATTATATTGATTTTTAGCACTAAAATTAGATTGGTATGTTCAACTCAAAATATGTTTTCCCAACAACTTTAACAATAGCTTAAGTATGAACCTGCAGCACTACTATAAGTTTGTATATATGCTTTCACAAGGTTATATAAAACTTTACAACGAAACGAATAACACAACTTCGGAAAACATTAAAAGCAATAATTTTTGTAGAACATGAATACAAGAATCACAGCCAATGGAAATGCGCACTTCCACAAACACACTGAAGGAGATATTTGAAAGAATTTAAAAAAATATTTTTGAATATCAATGACACATAAGAATGATAACGGCGACATTATATGCGTAACTGTCATAATAATTGGTCTCAGTAAATGATATACTTTTCCAAAGTTCCGATTTTTACATATAAGGTACCTTCCTGATCATACAAAAATTAAATTTCCAAAAGCGCACTCCATATTTTTTTCAAATCATTTAATACTAAATTGTGAGATTATTTCCAAGTCCTATTTTAACGTGTAACAAATTCAGCATTACAGAAAAAAGCAAAAGATACTACACTTAGAAACAAAAATCACAATGCGTATATATTCTAACTCGCATAAAAATTTCCTGAAAATTTAAAATAAATCAATAAAATCAATGACATTAAAAATATACGTTCGAAGTAATAAAAATTTTCGATTCCTCCCTCTTGAGTAACTTCAAAAGGCGATCAACATGCATGCTTGCAGCTGCTCGAGTCACGAACGGACTTAATACGCAATGCAGCTCGTAATTCGAGGTAATCTATAAGTATCAAATGATCTTCAGTGATATTTAGGTATACAACATTAAACTGTATTCATATTTGATGATTTCGTAAAATAATTTACATCAGAACATAAATTTAATTCCGAAACAAAATACTAGGAATCATTTGAATTTTGATAATGTAATATATGAAAATCTAAGCTTACACTAGAAAACAGGCAACATTCCGGCTTCATCACAAACAAATGCTTCAAATTTGATTTTCGCACAGAATAACCAAACATTTTTTTAAAATACTTTTGCAGCTTCTGACGTTCACCAGTATTAATAAATGGTATGGAATACTGTGAGTAACACATTTGACTTGTGCATCGATTCTTATATATAAAATGCCATAAGTCCGAAGGCATATTCTAGAAATAACTTTGACTTTGACAGAAATAAATTTAGAAACCAATCTGAGAATGAAAAGTCAATACAGTGTAAAACCTAAACTGCACCTTTTAATTTGGTTTCAAAATTCCCAGTCTCTATGATAAAAGTAAGCACATTTCCTGAATAAATGGAAGAAAGTAATAAAGTGTTAGACACTAACCAAATTATGTCAGATAATCTATGTCCCAATATTAATTTCAAAAATGACTACATTTGAATAGACTTTATATTTTTATAGGAATAAATTTTTAAATAATCTTTAAAAAAAATAGTTGAGATTAATTTTAATTACTAATGCTTAAACTTACTCCACATTTGTCATGATTAAATGAATAAATACCGCTCTAATATCGAAAGAAGAAGGACTATCCACTGAATTCTGCAACAAAACGCATGATTTGGATGAATGCAATTTATTAATTACAGCTTCTTTTACACCATGAAGCATTTCAAAAGCGCTACGTTCCAAAGACAACAGCAGTAAGCAAGCACTACTGTCTTCCCAGATGAACGAAACATAAGCATACAAGAATCCCCTAAACCAATTGCAATGAGTAATCTTTCAAAAGATATAGTTTTGATATGTCCCAATCTCATTTCGAAAATGGGTAACAGTCAAAGACTACAAAATACAGTATTATATTATTTATATCAATATTAAGTAATCGAAATGATTTTTTAAAAAGTTGCATTAATTTAATGTTTAATATCAAGTTAATCAATAAGCAAAAGATAGAATATGATTAAGCGTACGTATCGTTGAAATGCGGTAAGCATACAGGTATCCAGTTGTCAGCATGCTTAAACTGGGGATTACAATCAATAATATTGATAAGAAGATGCAAATCACAAGGATATAATGCAACACCCTTTATTCGTACTACAGTGATAAGCTTTCGTTTAGCTACAACTAATCCGTAAACGATATTTTTAGCCTAAAATAAGCAAAGCTATGTTGAAATAGGGGATAAAGAGATCAAAATATGATCGATTTACGAAACCTACTACCTGTATTATCAGAAATAGGAAACTTAACTTGGTACTACTTACTGCTGAAACTATTGCGTTTGTAAACTGTTCTCTATCTGCAAAAGACATAGGGAAAACAAGTATTGAACGCATAAACACATCAATATCGTCCCTATGGTGGCAGATAATAGAATTTAAGTGCTGGCCCGTTCCTGAAAATCCAATAATTCGTTTCCAAAATTCAAAACAAATGAATAATATACAAAAGAAAATTTTCAAGTATGAAAGAATTAAGCTACAAAAATATGCCTTTAAACATGTATCTTAAGTCGAAATTGGACCCTTTAGTTTGAAAAATTGAAACTAATTGAGCTCGACAGATTATTGAAAGTATCTGAAATAACGATAATTGACAAAAGCATTCCTTCTAGCCTGTATCTTAAATCAAAACCAGGTTTTTAATTTTCGAAAAATTGCCACAAAGCACATATAAACTAAATCAAAGCCAGAGGGTACAAACTTTAAACACTGAATGCAAACGCAACTGAAAGTAAAATCTACAGAAAACGTTTAAACAGTTAAAGAGAAATAGCCTGTTTGTAAACAAGATCCACTTGAGCATCCAATTGAAGTCCATCACGTGAAACAATACATAAGATAAGTGGACTCCGATAGCAGAATGAAATCTGCAAATGAGCTGAGCGAATTCGTTTAAGACTATCATTCCACGAAGTAACTACCATAATGAACGTCTGAATCAGAGCAATAAGAGAACACAGTTGTTCCTCGTGGCCACATGATGCAAAAATAGGTTTGCCAACTTCGGACAACACAAATATCTTAAATATAAAACAAATAATAAAGCAAAAAGTCCACTGTCTTTACCCTAGCAGCACAAGAGACGTCTTCAATAACTCATTCAAAAATTGTTGACAAAACTTCCTTAGATAATACCGTGAATTCCTGCCGCGATAACTCAGTAAGTAAAATTTCATCATCATATCCACTCTCCTCCTCTGGTTCATCTTCGACAGAACCTAAGCCCTGCAAAATAAAGCAGTGAGTCAAAACTACGAGCTGTTCTAGGATATAAACTGTGAGAACAGTAACTGCATAGTCTATGAGATTCCAATGTAAATACAAGAAGCCTACTAATGGAGTTTTATCGAGATTGACATCAAGTTTCTTGCTTGAATCAAGCACAATTGTGCCACCAGGCACCGCTGACGTCACCTCAAAGACAGAATCCAGATTCAAGTCCCAAAGAATCTATTGCAATCATATAAGTAATGCAATCACTTTCAATATATGCTCTGCAAAACGACAAACTATAAATAATCAAACCCTCCTAGTTCCATTTGTGACAAGTTATAAACAGTTATCAGTAACCCTGCAAAATATGGAGCAGGAAAATCTCTAGCGACTATTAAGAATACTTCTCGTGAACGCCTCTAAAATTTTTTAGAATTAATTAGTAATGCTCCACTACTTTCATGGGAATTTCAATTTAATACATTCATGATATACATCCAAACTGAAACAGAAAATCTTGCATAAAGCTGAACAAACTAAATAAAGATGAAATCATGATGCCAATTATACTCATGATGCAAGGTTTAAATATTTGCAAACAAAATAAAGCAGCAAATGAGTGATGAGACAGTTTCTCGAATTTAAGAAAATAATACATAAATACTTTATATATCAATGTACAGATTAAGATCAAGAGTGGTAGCAAATTAAAAGGCAAAAACATCAAATATAGCTTCAAGTAAATTTTACGACAATATACAACACGTATATCGTAGTATAGTGAAATTAACACGTTATACTGGTAGATATTTTCATTAACGACTCACTGAAAACACTGCAAAGTAAATATTTAGTTCTATAGCACATAGATAATTATATTCTTTTTATACGAATTCACTGAAGCATCATATAAAATAAAGTTATAGACTGCAAAAATGAATTTCTAACTTCCAGACTTCATAATAAGAGTATTTCATTAAGTATTACAAACCAGTTGAACTTAATTTATGTTAAATGATTAATTTAGGACGAAACATCACAAAATAAAGGAAACAGTGTATCTTTCAGTACAAAATAAGAAATTAACTTCATCTGACTCAAAAACCTTTTGGAAAGGAAATAGCAAATTAAGGTTGATTTGATTTGTAAAGTTTAGAAGAGAATATGTGAAATAAATATGAATAAGGAGATAAGTATCCGTAATAAGCAACGTGTTTAAGCAGCATTTTTGAAAAGCGAAAGTGATTACAGTAAACGAACTTGAAGATCTTCTAATTGAGTCACTTATCTTTTTCAAGTAATGTCTGGATGTTCTGCAAAAAATTACGCTTTCAGTAACACTACTGACAGCAAGCAATATCAGAATCTTAAAATCGATATTGATAATAAAAATACAGCGAAACGAAGGAAAAATTACTTGAATAAAAATTTATAACATAACCTAACCTTTTGCAAAACAAGATTTCTTGAGAGCGTTTCCTCTAGCATGCGTTGCAATCTTCGATTCATATCGCGTATATCAGCAGCCGATTCATCCATGCGCACCATTTCAAGCATACGACGAAAACGTAAGCCTGAAATAAATTTGATAAAAGAATGAAAAAATAAACTACATGACCGAAATAGACCAAATAAAAATATTAAAAAGAAATAGCAGAATAAGCAGCACAAACTGTAAGTATTTAACAGAATAAATAACAGCATGAATCATTGTACCAGGGGATGAAGCTCCAACTACGGAACTATGACTGACACCTGGTATAGAACGAATCCATTCTGCAATTACTTCACTTTTTTCTACAATTTCTTTTCGTAAAAGAGAATTTTCTTCCTCGACCATATTTAGCTGAAAATCAAAATTTTCAAGAAATCTAGAATGAACAATACATACAGAAATTTTTCATCTCCCTCAGGAATATACAGTAAAAAAAACTAATCTTACACGGTCTAGCGTTTCAGCATGCTTCTTTTGCAAGACAGCTAGGCGACTAATCAGTTCTGCATTATCTGCTTCTAAAATAGATGCTGAACAAGAACTTTCTTCACCATCAAAATTCTGAAATCATATTTTGTTGTCCTTCAATTCACTTTACTTCACACAGCCAGTTATCGTAATTTAAAAATGCAAAAAATCAGCTAACTCAATTTTACTCAATCAAGAGTTCTCACATTTTTTTTTTTGCAAAATATCTAAACTACTCTAATCATATAGCACTAATAAAATGACAAATCACAATAATACAAAAATATGCAGTTTTATGATTTCATGATTAACCATGAAGCTTTTGCAATATGTGCATAGCATAGAAAAATACAAATTCTGGAAAAAATTAACAAATGTAGTTAGCACTTTTCGCACTGACAACTACATAAATATAATAAAAATAGATGAATTATTCTATAAGGTCAGAAAATTAGAATTTTACAGGGGATTTAGATATTAAGAATGATTATTTTGAACAAAATGAACAGCTCAAAAAACTTGAACAAAAATGGAAGAATATATCCCACATGCAGAGAATTTTTATCCGTTTCAGCCACAAATGCCCATGAACAGACGCTAGACGTAGCTTCTACATCATTTTTAACCTTAAACCGATCAGAAAGAGAGAGTGATGAACCACCGCCGAGTCGCATTCGAGTACTACCTACAGATTGCAGCATATTACAATTAAAAACTATTAAAAAACAATCTCTGCTCAACGATTTTCATTAGCAAAAGTATTTCCAAATAATGACAAGAATTTAAGCTTGAAATAACAAATACAGACATAAATCGAATATGAAAGCTACTGCACTTTCTGCAAAATGAAAAAAAAAAAAACCTACCGTGTGTATAAACAGAATCAGTCATACCAAGAACATCATCTAAATGTTTTTCCGCCTGTTCAGCACGTTTTTTTTCAGACAAAACTTGACGCCTTAATTCTTTGACCATTGAAGACTAAACACAAAATACACGATTGAAGCTCAGAGCGCAATTGAAAATAGACGTAACGACAAATGACGGAATTTTTTAAGATGGTTACACAAGCGGTCATACTATATGGATTTTAACAAATTTATAGAATTTAAAATAGTTATAAAACTATATAAGTAAAATTTGTAAAAAATAAGAGAAATTAAAAGCAAAATTTACCTGCTTTTTGAGAGCTACTTTTATTTCTTCGTTTTTACCCTTGATTTCATCTTCATGTTCTTTAAGTTTTGTTTCTAGAATCGTCTGAATTAATTCAATATTATGAGCTGCTGTTCTTTGCTCCTATAAACTAGCATATCAAATATGAATATTAGAATAAATTTTATAAAATGCTCTCAAAAATCAGAGGTCACAAAAAACATCATTTAATACAAAATGCAGCAAAGAATTTACTTGAAATTAAAATTCAAATCTCACTTCCTAAATAAAGCTCAGAGTGTGGAGGTCAAAAAAGTTATTACTTCCTCTTTGGAACGTTGCAGCTCTTGCATTTGCTCATTTAACAGCTTGAGCTCAATAGAAAATCTTTGTTTTATTTGTTCTCCAGCTGCTTCTGCAGCTGCCGTTTTTTCCTGAAAGACATCTAAAAATTATAGCATTGAAAAATGAATGTCCTACATATCCAGTGGTTAATAAACTGAATGAAAGAAAGAATCCTGATCGTCTCAATAATATCAATTTATCCTTGCATGATAAAAAAAACAGCTCTTAATGTAACTGTAAAACTGCCAACCTTTTGAGTCAAAACGTCCGCTTTTGCAATTTGTAATTCTTTCTCAATATTCTGCTTCTGTTCATCTACCAATAATGCATCGCTTTCTGTATTGATTTCTTTGATTTTGCGTAACTTCTCACATTCCGCTTCCAAATTCTGTATACGCTCTTGTAGCAGATCTACATCCTTGAATTACATTTGATAATAAAAACTCCATGCTCTTGGATCGATGGAATTATACCACGTATTAAAAATTTAAGTACTCAATCAGGACTATATTTCTCCTTTTACTACGTAAAATCTTCCACATTTTGTTTTAGTGAAGAAATTACGTCATTTAAAATACAAATATCAGTAATTTAGAGAATACATAACATAACATACAAATAAACTATCTGTTTGAGAACATATTTCAGAACATGAAACTTTTTTTGTTGCCACCGCATATGATTCCTTCAATGTTAATAATTCACTTTCTTTCTTGTCGAGGACCAACTCATATTCATTGAACTTTTCTTCAAGTTTATTCAGTTCGAGCTGCAGCTTTGCTGACCTGTTATCAATAAAATTATATTTTTATTTTTAACTTAACGAAAAAATAACTCTGCTACTTACCTACCGCTAAATAATAGTTTTTAATTTTATTACCTCTGTCGCTCCAAAATAATTTCTTCGTCCAATATTTTTTTTGTCAACAACAAATCCCGATTCAACGTTTTTATATCAGTTATGAGCAACTCCTTTCCCGAGAGCACTTCTAAATTTTTTTTCTGCAGTATTAAAACATTGTGACTCTGAGAAATAACTCAAAATTAGAAAAAACCGTAGCCAAATATAATTATACTGCTGAAACTTGAATCATGGGAATACATATTTATCCTTAAAAAAAGAGAAAAAAAAAAACGTAAACATGGCGAAAAATAAACGATAAAAAATACCTTTAAGGGATAAATTTTCCGCTTCTAAATCCGATTTCCTCGTAATCAAGTCTTCCATATTAGTGTTTTCCACTGTAACAAAAAAAACACTCTTGCATTAACTAAATCAGAACAGCAAATGAATAACTCGATATTCATCATTTCAAAAATTTGATGCGGGATGGAAAGTCAGTTATGAAAATAAGTACCTGAAGATTTATTCTTCTCAACAAGTTTCTGTTGTTTTCTCGTTTTATCTTCTAAAAGTTCACATTCTTTCACTACCTAAAGTATGCTTGCATTATTTTTTGAGAGTAAAAAATAATCAATTTTACTTTAATTTGATGTTCGAAAGACAAGTACTGCATGCCTAATTTTGATTGCCAGCTGTATTTAATTCTTTCATAGCTAGGAGTATCAAAAATTCTAGAGTTCAACTAGAAAAAAACTGATTTAATTATAAATTATAGGAAATGTCTATGATAAACTCAGTAAATGAACCAATGGACTCTGAAACTTATGTAACTTTAATTTTCATGAAACCTTCAGAAACACTATAATCCATTTCCTTTACTCATTTTGTTGATCAACAGTTCGGAAGTTCTGCTCAAAAACTTTCAGTTATTCATTAAATGACATATAAAATAGAAAATGAGACAAATATAGCTACCTTATTCAGCTCCGAAAGAAGAGTTGACTGTTGTAAACGAAATTCCTCTTCTTGGGCAGATAATTTGTTCCGTAAAAGACGTACTTCAGTTTCCAATTTTTCATTAGAATTTTCCTTTTCTCGTTTCCGACCGACAAGCTAAAAATTATACTAATACACCAAAGTTTACTCAACACAAGTTAAAACAACTCCTTATATGCAATTCTTGATTCAGTAATTCAGAACTCTGTGTACTTTATTCCAACCTATAAATTTACATTTCAAATTATTAAATCAACACTTATGATGTTTTTCTAAAACCAACCAATGGCTTCAAAAATATACTACAATCACTTATGCTTGATATCTAATTTATGTGCACCATAAAATTAGCTATGCTACAGACAAATAATCTTAATGACAAGTAAAATTATCACCGTACTGAAATTGAAAAGCTTGCGGCCAGTTCCAGACACAGCCTGCTAGCACATATAGAAAAATTTGCAACATGTTTTTTCTAGAAGATAGATTTCACTTTTAGTACGGAGGATAGAATTACGGAAGTATTTGAAAATTTTCATGGAGTATGACCACCACAAACCTTAGCAACAAATAATGATGAATCAGCTCCTTTCGAAGCTAAGCAGTTGATATATTTTTGTTGACGTTTATTTTCTTCCAGCAACTCGTAGTTACGATTACGTAAATCAAGAAGCTGTCCTTGAAGACGGAAAAATTCTTCCTGCGATATTGCCGCGTTGATGCCATCAGTTGGTCTACTTTTCACTTCGCTGTTGATAGAATAAGTCGTAACTGACATCGTTCTAATAACTAGGTGTTGCTAAAAATTTTGATTCTTTTCAGATTTAAAAATGAACTTCTTGTCCTATCAGAGAACTTAATGACAAAGACCACAAACATACCGGATGATCTTATGTGAAATAAATTTTCTAGCTCATTCCAATGAAACAAAGTCACTGGCGAATTACCAGTGAATCTTCCTGATTTTCCAAATGCGAACACAATGAAAATTCATATCCTACAGGAAATATGTCAATTTTTTGTATCCGTGATTTGCTTGTAATGCTGTCGAAATACAAAAAGTGCTGGAAAGTGATGGATCTAATTAATTTTCTTTGCAACACTGCAGTGGCATATTCCCACTCGCAATTTTCATGAATACTAATGTATTGATTGGACATGCTGGACACCAACTACTCAATTACGGAAATCATATATGCAGGAAATGCAGTAACTGTTGTTCCTGTTTTGTCATCCAGATTGCAAATAATTTGCTTTGTGTTCATTACCTAGCTTACAGTGAGTGAGAACTAGAAAGACATGTTGATTTTACTGCCTTAATACTACCATATTCCTCAGTGCTAGCCCTATTTAATATAAATAAATATAGGTAATTCTCGTCTTTATGATAAATTCTAAAAATTTGTCCCATCAACAAGTTGCATATTTGTTGTATTTCAAATTGGTCAGCTGAGAACGAAGTTATTTTTTGTACATCAAGTAAATTGAAGAAATCGTTTTCATACATACAATATTTGGCTTATTAATTTATCAGATCGTAACAGAAATATACTGGAACAGTTATGGCGACAAACAGATCAAATGCATAATCATTGAAAATGCCAGTTTTTTCGACAGCTGTGACATTTCTATATTAGCTGCTACATGTGTTTCCTGTATCCGGAAATGATGCAACAATGAAAAGCAACATGAACAAATAACTAAATGAAAGAAATACATGTGTATAAAATTTATGACTTTAGATAAATAAAACATTTATCTGCTATGATATTATGAATTCCAGGATAGTTCCATTACCTTTCCAAATCACATACATTACATTATCTGATCGTTACTGACAACAGATTCACGTAGAGGTCGTATTGCTGACGTAAAGTGAACGAACTTGCCCGTTAAACTTGATCGATATTCCGCAATAAAACCTTTTTGTTCTTCAGAATCATCCGTACTCAAAACCAGTAGTAAAGATGGCCCAGACGATGTAAATGATGGTGGTAGCTTGAAAATAATGTTTAAATGTTTACTTCAATGACATTATTCAAAACTAATATATCTTGAAATTATTATGCGCTTAACTATCCTATAAAGTTTCAAGCCACAGTTTCTCTTGCTTGAAAGATATTTTTCTATAATTGCATCAGTAAATTTTACATCATTAAGAGCACAATTTTCTAAACTTCTCTTAATTTTATTAGTAATTTGACATAATAATTTAACGACGGTCAAGTTCTTTTTGAAATATTTTGATCGTCGCTGCAAGACTTATGGTACAAAAAAGGAAGGTAATATCAGAAGTTTTATACAAGTGAAACCAAAATTTTTCAATTACTTTATCACCGCAGTACCGTGCAACACGTTTTTGTCTTAATTGTTCGCTTCCATCATAAATTTCAACATAGTCAAATTCGCAATTGGTCTCACGTTCTAAATCAAATTGTGCAAAGCGAAGATTGACACCGCGGCCCGGTTTTGAATGAATTCGCCATTCGCACCTTAACAACCACATGCATTTGGGTAGAAATATACTTTAACGATTCAGTAGTTAGAATCATGTTCGTATTTCAATGTACAGGTAGGTTGAACTGTTTGATGTATTTTGATGAGATTTTGAAGAACATTACGAAAAGATATATGCTAGTAAAGCAATGTTCATGTGATTCAAGTGAAAGTAATAAAAATATTAATTTACATGCATGTAACCAATTTTCTATTAATCATAAGTAAATTTACCTCATTTTTTTCTCATATTTACCATCACTATAATGCGCATGTGAATAAATGAAACCTATACTTTCATCCGCCTTCAGATTACCACCACACACTGAAATCATTTTTTTTGTTTCAATATCAAAATCTTTAGTATCAGTTTATATACTAATATAATATATTTGTAAAGAAATCTTACTAGAAGATCATGATAAAAAATATAAAATAACAGTATAAGAATTGAAAAACAAAAAAACCTGAAGAAAAAAAGGCCTTGAAACCACGACGATCAACACTACCATCTGTAAGCATCATGACAAACAGCTGATTGGACGATGACTGAATATTTGGAGGCACCTCCGTACCACAAAAAATTCCTAAGGAAATAGCTTCTGCACTGCCACCATCAAATATTTCGATATGATCATACTTGCATGTAGTGTGCTCTTCAAGTATGAATTCCTCAAAGGACTGCAAAGCGACATTTCAATTTGTAAGCTTGACAAAATGTAACACTTGAACGATTTGTGTAAATCATTTTCGATCCATCACGTTATTCTATCACGTTAATGAAAATTACTACAACTTGTTAAGATCAATAAATTCATAACTATTATCTTAACTATTACGAAAACTTTGCTTCCATATAGAGAATAAATACCAAAGAGGGACATTTCAAAACAGGAGTGAAATATACATGTAATGTTTTTAGTTCTTATACTGTTATTGTATATTTGTCACGTATCTGTTAAAAAATCCTTCGCGTGAGAAAACTAACGAGTGAAAGCCGATGACCAGGTGTAGTGACAAAATGCCAATTGCAATTTTTTCCTTTCGGATAATCGAAGGGATAATTTGGAGAAGTGATTTCCCCTTCAGGATCATTTAACTGTAAACTGCATTTATCTTCCTTACAGTTATGTTCATCATCTGCCAAAATGTATCCACTTCCACATTCACATTTATATGAGCCTAAATTCAAATATTTAGTGAGTTCAAGCAGTATGCTAATTCTTCATTGCAGATAATCTTATATACTGCTTAAAACACAAATTCAGTAAAATGTAATAACTCTGTAACTAAATCCAAAACATGTTTCATTCAACACAAAAATACCTAACTCTATTTACTAGCATCATACAAGAATTTCCACAACTATTTCCTAATACAAAAATTATTTCTCAACTATATGAAGAACTTCATTCTGATCATTTCCCCTACCAGGTTGAAGTTCATATGCCTTCGATTATTCTCATAATTTTAAGAGCCAAAAACTGTGTAAATTGAAAAAGTAACCAATAGTATTTGCACAGTGCTGCTGACAGCCGGCATTATTGTTATAACATTCGTTAAAATCAGTGATAAAGTCTGCTGCAAAGCCTTTCTTCTCAATCTGTAAAAAATTTAATATTTCAGAAGATATGAAAATATTTTAAACAATAATCCATACCGCATTGTTTCTCCGATTTATCTTTCTCTTTCAAACTGATTAACAAATAAGACATATAATTAACACATGAAATACTTTTTACAATCTTATTTTTTCAATAGAGCGATGAATACAACAATCAAAAAACGAACTGTGCTGTCGGAAACGAATAAAACTTTGATTTGATTTGTTGTCGATGTGTAGACCAAAGTATTATATTGTCCACAGTAGCGTTTTTCAACTCCTTCATCGCTTTGAATTAGAACATAATCATAGAAACATGCTGATTTCATTCCTTCTACATCAAAAAACGTAAAATTGATGACAATTTGATACCCTTTATCAGCTTCTATTTGCCAAACACACGTTTTGAGAGGCGGATAATTAAATGGATAATTTGGGCTATAAAATGTTCCGTTTGATGCCTTGATAATACCACCGCACGTGCCTGAAGAAAATTGGGCAAAGCAATAATTCTAAATTACAATTTACAACCTCAAAACTTGTTAAAAATAAAACTTTCATAAGCTACGAAAAGATGACGTTGATATGATCCTATACTGCAGAAATCATACACAGTAATTTCTTACTTTGACAAGTCTTCCCATCAGAAAGTAAGGAATATCCAGTGTAGCACATGCATTCATAACCACCAATTTTGTTGATACAGTGATGCTGACAACCGTGACTATCTGATTCGCATTCGTCTCTCTCTTCAAATCAATAAATTTATAATCACTTCTATATTTTATCTCGAAACAATGAATGCTAGACACAAGAAATAGAATCACGATAAAAAGTAACTAACCTTTCGCGAAATCGATATGAAAACCCGCTTTTTGTACTGAACTATCCGAGACAAAATGCAACAGGATTGTATTGAAATGTGAGACAATAGATTTGGTAATTATCTAAATTGACTTTATCAAAAAATATGAAAAGTAATTGAAAAAAAAACATTTAAATGACAGAAATTTCAATATCATTCTTTACAATATCTTATGAGCAATTTGAGCACTGCCAAAACACGGGAAAAGTGCATGCTATTTAACTACAGATAATAATTTTTTACAACAGCCAAAAATGATGTAAAAATTTTAATCAAATGATTACTTCAAAATATTCTGACGGTATCACGATTTCCTAACAGCAAATAAAAAAGTCAAAATAGTTTTAAAAATCACCTATCACATAGCATTTAATACCAAAGTGAAACATACCCGGCCACATAACTTAGACAGTAAAGCTGTTGGTTTTACTACAGTACCATCATAGATTTCTAACCTGTCATAGATACAGTCCTTATGTGTTTCAAGCTGAAATTATCTGATTGATTAGCTGTTCTTATTTTTTAAATGAATAAAAATACTGATCTCTATAAAAATTTTGGAACTTTAATTTTTTCACAAAATCATCATCGCTGAGACAGAATGTTCAAGCTTAGAAGTTTTCCAATGAAACTGGCAAGAATTAGTTTCACTTTCATTACGTCCCAGTTATATCAAAAGCATTCGAAAAAATATCCTTTCTGGTTTGAAAAACTGGTATTTCAGCTAAATACACAAAACAGTAACTACCAAAGTAAGGTGAATAGATAATCCTCAGGAAAAAAAAATATTTATTTTCTGGCAGTCTTCGTGGTCTCCGTCAATATGTTTATGTGAAACTCAATCACATTAAGAATGAACTGACATTGAAGAATTGGAAGTTTAAAGCGACTTGATAGCCTTCCGGGACAGTAATAATCCATTTGCACTCTTCATCAGGCATGTAGTTTTCTGGATAGCGTGGACTTTGAATAGTACCTTCTTCATCCACAAAATGTCCACCACAAATAACTAAAATAGTCATAGGAAATAATTATACAGCTAGGAGTTTTGAAACTTATTTTTCCGTAATACTGAGGACCCGATCTGTTCCAAACCAATACAAAATAGTTACAAACCAATATAATGGGCGAAAACAGAAACTACAGGAAATGAAGTCTGTGACTGAATGAAGAGTCTATTCCCAGTTGAAAATATTGTCCTCGAAATGATACCACCACATACTTTATCTGAATATACTGCTTTATTCAGATAATAATTTGTCATATAAAAGGATGAAGCAAAGTTAATACGTCCAGAACCATAACGAAAAATTTATGCATTCTCCAGAAGCTCATTTTTCATTAATTTGTAACATTCTTAATTACAGTTCAATGTTTTAAATACTGAGCTGTGATTGCGAATGGTTGATAACTGATCCTAATTAATCACAAAAATAAACCTCAAGAGGAAAATGAAATCAAACCGAGAATTGGAGAGCCAACAAAATGTCCGTCGCGTATGATCAAATAGTTGTCTCGTTCTGATATACAGTCACGCTTTGGGGACGGTACAGCTAGCGTCGAAACATTCAGAACAATGAACTCACCAACGGCAGCGATTATTCGCCAATGGCATAAAGTACCACTACCATCCAGACGCAATTCTCCAAATTCTTCTAACAATGTTTCACCACAAACTGGTAAAAAAAATTAATACTTTCGGAACAAAGATTCTCTTCCAGGGTAATTAAATCTTGACAACTCTTGTCAACATAACTAGCTGCCTCTTATATTTTAACACAGATTTTATCAAAGTTTTTTATAAACCAGTTCCAGTTTGCTGTTCTTTACGTTTGCTTTTTATACAAAACTATTCAACATGAGGAGTTGCAAGACTCGTTACCTTCATCTAATTCAACGAACACCGTTATTTCAAAATACTGCAACATTTCAAAAGCAAGAAACAAAAAAAATATTCCTGAACTGATGGGATTTAAAAAAAATGGAAAGTATCAGAGAACACTTGAAATTTCGCTAATCGATTTTTTTCTCATAGGAAATACTCAGTCATAAATTGCATACATATTTTATAAACAAAAATGTGCTAAAAACCTGTGCATTTATAAAGTTTCTTCGTTTGAGAAATATCTCCTAGTGATAATTGTATACGCTGACCGATTTCTGGTCGTCGACCGAATTTGGTTTTAGGCAAAATAGTATCCAAATACATAGCCCGCGAAAACGTATCACGGGCATAATGCATGATTGATGCGAAATCGTATGGTTCACCCAAAGAATCCACCTCATCAGGTTTCAATTTCTCAAAATTGTAGTCTTGAGCTAAAATTTAAGAAATTTTTTAATCATCATAAGTAAATTTAGATAAACAGTAAAATATAAGATGATACAATAAATACATAAGCCAACACACTGATCTTAAATGTGAGTATAATCTTGAAAATTTCGCCAAAATTCCACCTTGCTGAATACTTCTATAAAATATATCAACATGTTGGTCGCGATCCAAACGTGTATGCTCATGCCAAAAGCCAATTACATGTCCCAGTTCATGGACTACAATTCCAAATTTATCACAGTTCTTTCCGATACTTATGGCTTGTGGTCCATTACCTTTTCGACCAACATAAGAGCAACAACTAAAATTATTTTTTGTAGATCGTTTTTTGCATCAAATATTACTTTGCAACAGTAAACAGATTTTGAGAGACAATCACAAAATTGATTACAGGTTTGATTCTTAGTTTCTGCAAAGCTTTTTATTTTTTTCAATATTTCAATAAATGCAAAAAATACGTGCAATTACCCGCATTTGTCGGCCGTGTAGACGATATAATTTTGGTGTTCCGGTTTGCGCGGTACAAACGTTATGCATGTATTATTTTCCCAATGGCGCATAGCCCTCTGAAATAAATGCTTATGTTCACCTGCGGAATGGAACAACTGCTCCGTAACGTTGAGTTACCTGTGAAATTAGTTGATACTACGTAAGGGATCACACCATTAGGCCATAGTCGATCTTTACGAGCAGTCGCGGCTCTAATTTTACGCCTGAAAATGATTAATATAAGTTTTCAACAGAAGTAATAACAAGGAAAATTTATTTTGCATATTTTAAGTGATATAGTTAAATAAAGTTATAAAATTTTATTACTGAATAATATGAAGTTATAATAATAAATAAAAAGTCCAAAGTAGGAAACTTTATAAAACATGTCTTAAACCTTTATCAAACTTCATCAAGTTTTTGTTAGCAATCATTTTGCAAAAAGATGTTCGCAAAATATGACTTAGATGAAAACTGTTAAAAAACTGCTGTCAAAATAGACAGGTTAATTAAAAAACCTCGAAGAGGAAAGGATGTGCTGCACGCCTTCATTGCTAAGAACTGATGATAACCATGGGTGTGATGATGATAGTGATGATGATGATGGCGATGACGATGATGGCAATGATAATGATGGCGATGATGATGAATAGGAAGGAAGAGAGCAATTGTAGTACGGTAAATGCTTTGCATGTAAACAAGCAAATAGGGATAAATGGGTTGGATGGAAATGAACTTGTACAATGCAAGGAGACAAATGCAGTAACAATGCAACAAGGGCAAAGGTGAATTGCATGGAAAGAAATCAAAAGAACGAAAAGTGAAGAAGGAGGATGAGTGAATGAGGATGGGCCGTTTCTCACTCGCGACCACTAGCAACACGCCCATCGATTTTGAACAACTGGACAGCACTTGCTACGCCAGTTTGCATTGGCAAGTTTGCATCCATCCAAATGACTTGTCGATGTCCATTTGTTCATTCACACAGCAACAAACTTTGCTAGCATCAAGTTTCGCGATGTGATAGAGCAATTGATACTCTGAACAATTAATTACATTTCTCCAAATCTTTTATTTCATTTAAATTTGCTTAGAAAAAAGCTATCCAATAACATTTAGAAATTTAGCCTTCACAATCTATCCTTGAAGTTCGCAACCAACTCATCTTGCTCCTGGTAGCAAGCATCACTGTCCTTGTCCTCGTCCAGCTATTATTTGAGTGCTAGTACCACTTACGTTGCTTCCCTCTTTGCTCCTTACCTTTCTTGATTTGTAAATCAAGTAGTCCTACTTGTGTGCAAAATGCAATGATGCATTGTTAACGCAAATAGACAAATATCGTATTTCAAATGACCCTCCAAAATGCTTATGTACCACGTCCCTCTTTTTCTGTATAAACGAAACTACTCTCATCTATATTTGTACTTCATAGGAAAAGTCCCTTCTACCGATGCTCTGATGTAATATGCTGAAAGCTTTTACCTTTCCTCGTTATTCATATTTCCTTTTTTTTCAGCTAAATTCATTTTTAGCAGAATAAAGTGCTGCTCTTCAACTAACATCTGATTCGTAATGACATAATTCTTCTCCTACACTTCCAAAACCGCAACATAACGAGCTTTTTTTGTTAATTGATATAAAAGTTAAATCGCTTATGTTATGTCAGTTATGGACGGATTACTGAGAGAGCTTTCTGCTCACATCAATCCTGTTGAATAATTACATTAAAAGAAGGACATTGCTTACAAAGCTTTTATCTGCGCATGTTCTAGTGGATCAGTCCGGTAATATTCTAACTAAATAAACGACAACGAATGATTTTTTTTTCTTATGTTGGAAACAATTGTGCAAATATCAACAGTTACTTCTTTATCACTTCCTAATGATTTGCAAACTAATTGCAGAAGACATAGAGCACATAAAGAATCAAACAAACGTAGTTTTTCGGCGTACAAATCAAAGGTGGTTCCACATAATCAACAGAAATATTCGATACTGTCATAAAATTGAACGTAGTCTCGCTTTAATTCACAAATGGTAATTTGAACATCAGCACTCCCAGAATATGAATTTCATTCCATACATAAAACTATACTTGTAGGATAGAATCTGCCATCACTGATGTCATATGAGAATGAATAATGACTACAGCATACTTTCTTTAGAACTTACAGAAATCTTCCCAAGGTAACAGAAACAATAAAATGTTGACCCATGCATGACGGTCACTTTGTCTTATTCCTGGTAATTCTTGCGCCTAATTAATGGAAAACTCTTCCATAGTTTACATATGAAAAATAAAGTATTGTGTAGTGCTTACAAAGTAAATTCAATCAATCGAAAAAAAGGAAAATCGAGAATTCCCATGGTTTTCTTTAGTTAAGATCTGCTAATTAGGGAGTAATTATGAATTTATTTTTGAAATTTATGAAAGGACAGAAAAATAAAAGTTTACATAGGAGGCTGAATTATGACTAGTAGGAGCAACATGGTCACAGTGTATAGTAAACAAAAGTAGAAAACTTTTAGAATTTTGTTTTCTCCTTATTCAAAACGAAATTACAAACAAAAATCTGCAATCTTGAAAGTAGTGCTAAAAGAAACATAAAGAAACAAGAATGAATAATCTCAACTGCGCATTGTTCATTAAATAAAATAGATAATTTTAGACTTGAAAAAGATGGAAATATAATTCTAAATTAATGCGTTGAAATAATGAATAAAAATAGAGTACAAAAGTTGGGGAGAATCTTTTTAACACACTGTTCAAGTAGAGGGCTTCTTTTGATTAAAAAAAAACTGAACATCAAAAAAGAAGCATCTAAAGCATAATATTATGAATATATTGTAACTACTTCTGTGCCCGTGCCTCGTACAAGCAGAATCCTTTGCAAACCTTCCGTTAACGCTTCAATAAACTCCATATCTGTAATACAAATAATCTTACAAGTTTTAGTTCTAAATTTCTATTTTAAATTTGACTCGCAAACTTTACCTTACAAATCCATTATATACAATATTTATATATAGTAAAGCCAAACTGACAATTATATATGTATATATAGCTATATGCCCCGACGTGATCAGTTTTTTCCTTCGCGTAACGTTTGTGAAAGTTTGTTACTGTTACATCTCAAACCATGACATACGGACTTAATTTCGTTCTGCATTTCATCTCTGCCTCGAGTTTATTAACCAGTAAATCACACTTTCGCTTCTTCTCGGTCTCGACTGCTGTCAACGTGCATTTTAATCCTGCATTTCATCACTGACTCGAATTTATTAGTATGCCATACTTCCGCGCCTTTTCTCTATCTCGACTACAGATAACCTGTCCTGACTGCTGATACCAATCTCTATCAGGGCTACTTCATATCGCTTCTTATCGTGTATCCCGGTTGAGCCGCTTTTATTCTGATTGCAGTTGTCACTCGCGTACCGACTCTGATTTTAACATTCTCATTCGCGACGACCTTCTGAACAGAATGGCTGCGCAAGCGCGGGAATGCTTTCAGATCATACTTTTTGCAGAGTCCCAAGTGGATGCATCGTAGGACCCTCATTGTGTCTTCTAGTATAGTCGTGATGTTACATTATTTCGCACTGCGTTGCTAGATGGTCTACCGTTTTCACACGTTCACCACTAGTCAGCACATACTTTTCTCAGCTCCAAACATATTCAGTCTTGGAGTTGATAATATCACGCTTCATCCTTTGGGGTAATATTTCCGAATTGTAACTACATTGATGAATCTGACACTGAGGGTAGCTCACTACTGCGCATCTTACATGCATGATGAATCTTTTCTATTTCGCTATATAAATATCCTTCCTGAGTAGCTGTTAGGTTCTCAGCGGTTGAATTGTCTTCCAGGTTGTATTTAATATGGAAGCAAGGTATAATGATTGCTAGGTAGGTATTATAAGCCTTCTCCTGCTTTGAAATCGCTGCCCTTCTAGTACATACAGACGAGGTCTCTCAAGCACATTATGAAGCTTTAGAAGCATAAGATCACTCCTTTGTTCAACGCAGTGAAGCTTACTTCCTAATTACTCCCTTGACAGGTACAATGCTTTTTAAACATGCAGATTTTTTAGCAGTACAATAATTTATTAGTCTTATGGCATGCTCTTTAACCGTCCTCATAAAGTGTTGGTATTTGAAGCTGTTTGGATCAATCCCTCAATTCTTAAAAAATTTGTTTTAGTATAACTTCATCGGAAAGTTGCACCAATCCTATATTCCATTATTCCGTGGTATTTATATTCTTTAGTTTCTTCCACGAGCACTTTTTTACCAGCACATGCCTCATTATTAGAGGCTGACTTTCCTGGATGCATCTCTAACACTACTACCTCAGAGAATCTCTGGACTTCCGCGGTCACAGATTATATGGTATCCTCATCGGTAGCAAGGAGTTTGAGATCATTTACAAATAGCAAGTGATTCGTTATGTTTATTCCTTGATCTCCGGCTGTATTTTCTTCTCCATCATGGTTTTTCCATTGCTTTTCAGTACACTACCCACTTAGAAGTGATGCTTCTTAGAAACCTGCCGATCCACACTAGCATACTGAGTTTGCTAGAGCTCAAGCAGTTTTCAATTAATCTGACTCTAGTATTTAGACTTCGTCTTTTCAACATCAGATTATAACCGAGGTCGGTAGATAATTTCTAAATGATGAGCTAACGAATTTCTGAACTTATATTTGTAATTTGGACAATGAATAAACAGCAAAATACCATCAAATAATTCACAGTTGAAGACATGCAGGATGTCATTACTAATTTTTTACAACAGCTTAATGCAATCACTAATTCCTCACAGTAAAGATTAGTTTCCATCAATCATTGAACGAAATCACCCAAGAAAGATTCCACTGCAAACTTTCTTCTAAATTCATATTCAGAACATGACCTAGCTAGTGAAATGTTGATTTATTTTTTTAGAATGCAAGAAATAAAACAATATTTTTTGCTTTGAAATACTAACAGTACTCTCCATTTCCTAGTGTTGGTGGTCCGGGCAAATTAACGATAACCAATTGAGCATCTGGACTTTTTGTTCGCATCAGTTCGTTTAACTTTACAGCAGTATGCATTTTTCTTACGTTAAAACTTTTCCGCATCACACTGAAGCACTCATCATGACTGGTATTACTACTCGATCGCCCCTCAACAGGAACTCTAGAATTTGGTGATCCACTTTTGCGCACCTTAATCGCATCCATCTTCGTGTCATTGTCATGCAACATCTGGAAGATTTCAATAATTTTGCGAGCAGTTTTCAACTCTAATTGCTCAAAAAATATTATCAAATGATATAGCTCAATTATACAAGCAAAATATGTAACCAATATTTTGCAGAATGTGGTAGCCGTCCAGTTAACAAATTTTTCGAAATTTGTATTTGTTTCACTTGTGTAAACTGACAACAGTTTTAGAGCAATTGGAATTGAAAACTCAGAAACGGACCTATTAGAATATTATAAAAAGTGCTTTTTGTTATAAATCAAGTAAATGTTAGCAGTTGGAAAATGTACAATGTTTTCTTCGCAAAAGTGTACTCGGAATTGCTCACTGACTACTGATTTCTCAGCTGTTAAGCTAACTGCTGATTCAGATTCTTCATTCAATGTTACTGCTAACTCAGTTTCATCGGTACTTCTTCCACTCTATAAAATATGTTTATAAAAAACTAGACAAATTATAAATTAAAACATCGAGTGGAAGGGATCAAGTGCAATACTTCTTTCAAAAAATTCATAAATATATCATCTGTAAAAAAAGCTTCAGCAAAATTTGCAGAATCTGACATTCCTCAGTTATCATTAAAAAACACCTTTCAAACCTTGACTTGTGATGTTAGTTCCTCATTACTGATATGCGATGATTTTCTGTCCCGACCGGCTCCAACAACAGCTGACTGAACATCCAGCTTTCGTTCACCCACTTGCATATCTTTCAATAGTCGTACTCTTTCTTCCATTTTCATTGTTCGTTCATATGTATATTCCGAAATATCCGAATCAGGCTAGGAAATTAAAGGATCAGAAGCAATATACATAATTGAGAGCAAGAGAAAAACGTTAGAAATCTGCAAAGGGAAAAATTTTTAAATGACCTTTTTATCTACGATACCATTATTAATCGATAACTGAGCAAGTGAAATAGGCAAAAATAAGACAGAATTAGAAATTTATGAGTTTTAAAAGACAAAATTCTCTAACAGATGAAAAAAGTTCATGAAGAGTTATTTTTTAGAATATCAGGAACAACTAAAATGCAATGTCAAATTTAATATCGTTAGCTTTTTAAAATGAGTTTATACGTATTTCTCGAAAAGATCAAATTAAATTATGAAAAGTGTCATCTACTTCACTTGTTTGTGATGAAGCTATTGTTCAATCCATTTAACGCATATTAAAAATAAGTCTACTTTCTAGTCACAAACCATTTCAATAACAATAACTTGAGCTTCGATTCGTAAGTGGTATAAAAATGTTTCCAAGTCTTTTTTCATATTGAAACTGTTATCATCCGTGTGAGCAATGGTATAAAGTCTCAAACGAGTGTTTCGCCAAGTTTTGTCCTGTTTTAGAAGAAATGGTAAAAGCATTAGTAATCCACCATCATGTACAATCCACCAAACGTCCAGATATCCGCGTAGCTGCAAAATAAATTGTTCTAAAACAATCGGTACTGGAAATCAATATCTGATCACAATATGAAGCAAGGAAATTATGGCAACATGTTAGATTATGCCTAAATACGCAGAAAAATTGCTTATACACATACTTTTTCTTGTGAAGACGGAAATTTCTTCACATTTTTCGGGACTAATATCGCACAATCCGCAGCATCAGCTGCACGCAACGAACTGATAAATCGCTGACAAACTTTGATTTCATGAGATGTTGCCCATTCATCGGGCCAGGCTACCACAACTGTATTATGTCTTAAGCCACCCAAGCCAGATGTCTATAAGAATTTCGAACAGGTTCGAAAGTTCGCAGCTTTGTTTTGTTAAAAAATAATAACTAAAAAGTTGTTCTCTTTGCATCAACGATAAATAATTCATAACATTTCCTCAAGAAAGTTACATCAAACTTAATATTTCTTACAAAATGACTACAAGTGGAAATTTACAAACCTGAACAAGACAATAAATTCCTTCAATGATATTATTTACCATTAGAATATCGTAAAATCCATGTATTTTGTGTAATTTGATTTGTTTATCCATTTCCTACAAGAAATTCATTATTTGTAATTTACTGAAAACGAAAATGTTCTGAGGCTATAGCAATTTGCTTGTGTTTATTGTTAATGCCATCACACACAACAGAAATTTTTCCAGCTCACAGCCTAATTCCAATCGTGTAACTTGATTGCAGAAGAAGACGAAACTTGAACTCGAATTTGTTTTACATTCTAAGAATATGCCTCAAACATAACATACATTTCGTGCTTCTTCAACAGCATCCGCATGCTTGATGAAATTGCCTTCAATACACTTCGCAATTAAGGTAAGACCTTTACCGGCTTTCAACTGAGAAACAAATGCAAACAATCCATACTCACTTTCCTTGGATTCAGGAGCAATAACAAGTAGCTGAGGTCTCCAATTCTGCAGGACTCTTATATTTTAGTTTATTGTTCAACAGAGCAAGAAAAATTAGGGCTGAAATAAATTGCAGTTTTTCACCAATACTTATTTTGATATTTTCGCTTAAAAACTAAGTTTAATTCTGAAACGTTTAATGCTTTTTATCCATGTTTTTTGCTTTTCACAACTATTTACCAAAGTTTTGATTGCAAAAGTTTTCTATCATAACGCTGCTACAAATTATTTTGAAAATACTGATTTATGAAAGCTAAATAATTAAAAACATTGACTAGTGGGAGTAAAATAAGCATATCATAATATAATATTTACCTTTGTGTGATGCGGACGATTTTCAACATTTAGAAGAGCAAAACGTGCAGCCGAAAGTTTCAAACCTCGTAATCCGTCGCCCCATTCCTTTTCCGCTCCAGCATATTCGATGTACTGAAAATATGAGCAGGCAAATGAGTTTATTTAAATAACGATTATTAATTTTCTAAACTTCAGATGTTGGTGATTTATTTTTCATAAAATGTAAGTAAAGACAAATCAAAAATGATTTTATGTGAAAGATATTTGTTAGTTGATATACTGCTGTAAGGTAGATGGTAACTATTCATGCTATAAAATTAGTTTCGTTCGACTTAGATGAACCGCATCGGTTTTTTCAAGAATTTACATGTTACTGAGCATAAATGAAAAAATTAATGGTGATAATAATGATAAAGCTATTATTTATTATTTGTTGTTATTATTTATTAATTCTTTATCATTGACTATTGATTATTATTATTATTATGATATTATTATTACTAATAATATTGCTAACAAAATCACTTTATAAACAGCAGCTCCAATAAAAATGGCAATGAGAGCAAAATGCCAAGCAGATATGAACATAACAGCAACGCAGAGAAATGAACCAAGCAGTGAGAGTGACCAATGGAAGTAACGAAATGAAGGACGCCAACCAGGAGCCCGAAGAATACTTTGTAAGGCACACGCTGTGTTAACACCCAAATAGCACATCAGGAAGAACCTGAAGTTTTATTAGAAAATACAACTTACTGTTCTTAATTTCGCAAAACTTGTACTGAATGCATATAGATAAATTTAGTCACCAACTTCATAAATATGCATAACAACAAAAATAGTAGAAACAGTGGCCAGTAAACTACTGCAGTAAATACAGGAAAACAACAATAAAACTTACTGTGTGATCAATGCAGTAATATTTTCGATTACGGCAATCAATATTCCGCATTCACAAATAAATAAAGTGAGAAGAATAGCAAGTATTGGTTCACCCCTGGAATCCATCTGCTTAAATCGCGAAAGAAATGGGACAACATTGTCACTGGCAATTGCCTGCAAAAGACGCGGTGCACCAGTCAACGATTGCATTCCAGCACCTACTGTAGATAGAAAACATCCAATCTAAAAATTCAACTAAATATTATAATTACATACGGTGAATTATAATTAGCAATATAAGTTGACCAAGAAAAGCATTTTGTTCTCTCACTAATTTGCTTCAAACAAAAAATTAAGTTATTCTTCTGTTTGTAGATCATCAAGCTGTTTAACTTACGTGTTGTTTTAAGCTTTCCTTTTTAATTTGAAAAGCTGTTGAAAGACAAAACTTATAATATGAATAAGATTAAGCATATACTAAGAATGTGTTAACATTAACTAACAAGAATAACTGTTGGATAAGGTACTGCGAGTTCGGCAATAACTAATTTATTCATTGCTGACTGACCAAATTTATCTCGAATGAACATTTCCGAAATAGATGCTCCAAATATTATTACGCCACTTAAATCTGAATGAAATACATTCAAATTATGCCCAAATAAATTTTGTCTACGCATTTAACAATACATTCTACAGATCACAAAAATTTGTATTTATTTGCATCGCAAATAAATCGACTTGATAAGTAATCATTCTTTTGTAATGTGTTCATTAACATCAAAATCATGTCTTAAATGACTCACTTAGATTATACGGCAGATTTATCTCACACTTATTACAAAACACTATTATTAACAACTTTATGGGAAATGCTGGGCTCATTCTTTATATCACGTGTTACATTTCTGTAACAGCTGAATAATAAAATAGAATGAAGTCCAAATTATTTGAAAAGCAAACGTAGAAACTAGTGTCAATTCGTTGAAAACATAATTTTTTTGCATCAGTACTACAAAACAAAGCCCATGGATAAAATTAAAGGCAATGATTAGTTGTTTTTTATTAAAAAAAAGCCTCAGCGCCAATTGAGAAGTATCATTATACCAACAATATGTATGCAATTTGCGATCTTTCCTTACTAGTACGTAACATTACGAAGATTTATCAGCCAAAATCATCAACTTTAGCTTTGAACAGTTGCAGTTTACATCAGCTACGTCCAACAATCAAATTACACCTCATAGCAGAAATTGAAAGTTGAACCACACTAATTTGCCTTTTTTCTTCTGCAAATCAATAAATAAAAGAAAATAAAAACTAACAAACAATAGTAGTGGTGATTTGGGCTCCAAGGGTACCAAGAGGTATTGAACGTGAAGCATCTTTCAAATTTCCGGAACGATTTGAGCCAGCCATTATTCCTGAAAAAATTTCGAGTTTCTTATAAGCATAAACAAAAAATAACTAGGAAGCACCAAATTATAACTGTCATATGACTCATACGACTGTAATTTACTATCCAGTAGATCGATAAATCCACCACTATCATAACTGCTTGATGCAGTAATTTCCTGATAACCATCACTGTGATAGAAGAATCCCACTAATCTTCCCATTATTATAAATAAAGGAAATGTTTTGAAATTTCGAAAACTTACCCGTAGCGGATGGAAAAAAAACACCTATTAATATCATAAACGAAGTTGCTTGTTGTATATAAATATAAAATCCTCGATTATCTTTTGCACTAAATTTTCTAGACTGAGTTTTCTCCTGAAAATTTGAAATCTCAGTTATTTTCAATAGCAATTGGGTTTTCATTTCTGCAAAAAAAAACAGAAGAAATAAAAAGGATTTCATTTTTCTAGATAAGATGGAAGAAGCAAACAACCTTGGTGAGTACATCTCCTGGTTCCTGATATTTGCTCCATAAATTATCAAAAAATGCACCACTTGCAATGCCTGGTATTGCGATCTGAAAAACTATTTGAATTCCAAATTGTCATCATAGTTCAAAGAAACTTATTGCAAATATGAAGTCTTCTATCAAATAAAAATTATTAGGAAGCACCAATAATTATCATACTTAAAGAGAATAAACAAAGACTGTAACAAACGCGTTAATTTAATTCTTTTCTCTTTTATTGGCACAACTTCGGTATCAACAGAAAGCATAATTAAATAATCAATGATTTTTCATCACTTCCAGTTTCTTGTATATTTCACTGTAACTCTAATTAAGCAATTAAAAAAACCAAAGTATTAATTTCTTTAGGAATTTGAAGAATGATAACAATTTTCTTCCAAAAACCCCTCAAATATTACTTCTTCTCGAATGGCTGTTGTGTTATTCTTCCATTCCTTAATTTCAGCCATGCGCGTATAGTATGCGTCACAAAACAAGCCATCGGAACCATTGACTACCTGGCAAAAAAGTGGTTTCAGACCAGCAACGGTGCAGTTGGGCACAACTTTATACTTCTCGGCAAATGAAACCAAATCAACAGGTCGATCACCCAACATGCAAAACCTAAAGCATTCATTGATTAATGTTTTTATTACAAATTAGTAAGCATGAATTTCTACGACTGGAGTATCCATTTATTTGGAAAATGCCGTTTAGAAGCAGTCCACTCATAAAGTTTAAGGCACTTTTTTCTTATAGAAAAACTTTTCCATCTTTATTTTTATATCGTTTTTTTTCAAACTAAAACTGATTTGGTGTAAATCTCACTTCAGGTCATTAGATCCATGATATTTAATGAACGCGCCAAAGAAAGTGCAGAATATGCAAGCCAAAACAACAAGAACAGCCGGTAGAGCAAATTTGTTTACAACCTGAAATACGAAGAAGGGAGTGCTTGATGAACAGGAAAAAAGATTAACAGTTTTAAGGGCAATAATGATTATGATCATTAATTAGTAATCTAATTTAAGCTCAGCTCAATGGTGGTAATGAAAAGCACTGGACAAAATGGAAAGTGCAAATCAAAGAACGGAGAATACAAACCAACCTTCACTCCAGCTAGAACAATTAATCCCAGAACAAGCAGCAAAACAGTACCCAAAACCCGGAAACAGTTGTAAATATTGTTGAAAATTTTTGCTTTTGGAACAATATATAACTAAATTGATATAATTAAGAGCGACTGAAATCACCAAGCTTTAAAATTTATAACTCTTTTTAAAATGCACAAGAATAATGTTGGCTAGGAATTTGGCACTTCAAAAACAAGTAAACAGAATATTAAGCAACAACTACAAGAATTTATCGCTTTAATGTAATTTAATGCTTAACATGCCGAGTAATCAAATATCTAATAGTGTTGTCAAACAAAACATTTTTGCAATTAAGTTTTTTTTTCATTATGATCATGATTTTATCATGCATAGCACATCTTTGGTTTGACGTAATTTTTGTAACACCTTACGATTAATATCTCAACGGCACCAGTGATATACATAGAAGCAGCAACCGTAGTACCCAGATAAAAAAGTATACCAACAGCACCACCAAGTTCAGGTCCAAGATTACGAGAAATCATATAATAAGGTCCTCCACCTGGTACTACACCATTTGTTGCTATTGCGGATAATGATATTGACGTAAGAAATGTCTGCAATGCAGATGTGTATTTATTGCAGTTACTTAATCGTTAATTAGAATCATGTGTCGATATTCAGTAATTTCGTCGCAGAATTATTTTATGTTCTTGACTTAGTTCAATTAAGTCATTCACAAAGCATGCGTGAAATGAACAATGACAAATAAGTTGACCATAATCCTCTGAAAAAAGCTTACCACACTACAGCAAAGGAAAACGACAAGGAAGGCTTGAAAAATCCCCGCAGTTCCTATGATCCATGTTAATCGAATAAAAAACAATACACCAAAAATATTTTGCATACACGGAAGATACACACCCATTATTGTGCCCATTCGGGCCTAAAATTTTTAATATTATTCACAAGCAGAATTACATGAGATTCAATCAAGAAAACAAAATGTGACTCATCAAAATACTTCTCGGTTACTTTTATTTTCATCTCACTACCATTTCTTCATAGCTACTGACAATTAGACATGATTATTCTTTATTTAATTATTGCAATTATAATCCGTATGCCTGAAGCGAAATCGTCTTCGAAATTAAGGTTTTTTTTAAAAAAATTGTATACAGTGACTATTCGTTTTCTTTCTTTGGTTAATTTCTATCAAAAATGTAAACCTGGTAAAAACTAATTATTAATCAACCTTCTTAAGAGGTTTCTGAGCAAATTCAATTTCAGACGAGCTTGACATAAGTGCATTATACAGTGACAAAGAGCGTAGCATCTGGCCAATTTTTTGTCCCTGCGTATGATACTCTTCCTGCAATTTTGTATAATCTGTTTAAAGTTTTTAATGAGATAAACTTTGATTTTTGTCTATTACAAGGTAAAAATAATTGTATCTAATGTAACTAAACGATGCACAAAAGTGATTTACAATTTCCCATGAATAGCAATATCCCTAGACGAAGTGAAACAGAATATTTTAACTAAAAAGCTCTCCTAATTGAATAATAGATTGATAATTTGGATCTAGCAATATCTTGTTTTTCATTCATAAATTTCTGTTTTGCCTAATTTGTCAACAGCATAGGTTTATGGTAAGTTTTTTTTTGATACAAATTTGCAAAAATTATGAACCTCATAAAGTGCAAGACTTGGGCTGTGTTCAGAGCATAACGGAGCTGTTTCATTGCCGCCATCACCTGAAATTGATAAAACAAAACTTTACCAAATTCACAACTGCCTTTCGCATATAATAAAACAAATAATAAAATTAAATAACATCATTTACAGTACTTGTCATAATTTATATGCTTTTCTCTACTCAAATTAGTTGGTGCAGCTTTTAGAAATAAAATTAAGGAATTTAAAAAAATGTCTGTATTTGAAATTTAATCTTTTTAGTACACAAAAAATTTGACCAAACTGAAAATATACGAAATGATCTATTTAGGAATCGTCTCATATCAAAAATACTGCAAAACAATAGGTGGTCTATTATACGACTATAATTGTAAATAAATATTACATGCTTTAATGATAATCCTTATTTCTAAAATTCGGTTCTTTTCATCAATAATAGTGTCTTAAACAATAATTGAAGATAGATTGGTTCATACTGAATTTTAAACTATGATTACAAAAAAACTACAGCAAACAAACTATAATTGATCCTGTGTTTATCAAAACATCAAAATGATTAAGACAAGATACCTTTTTTTTAAAGGCAATTTGTCCATAACATTTCTATGCTTTGTTCTGTTTTTTAACATATAATTGTATTAAACATTTGTTATGGAATTACCTTCATATCAGTTCAAAGGACTAAGTTTTTTTTAATTTCATCAGTAAATGAATAATCCGCGTACTTAACAAATAGCAAAAAAAAGATATTTCCTAGATAGTCAGAGTTGAGCAGTAGAGTAAATTTGTTTTCCGAAAGTCTGTTCTAACCCATTACTATGTACATAACTCTGCGGATAAATATTTATTCAGTTAGCATAAAGATCGCTTAATGACTATTTTTGTTACCTTCAGGTAGCTATTATTGAAATAGTCATCCATCCATTGAAGGGTATACAAACTTCTGTGGCATCATGCCTGATTTGACTGATACAAAAGTTTTAAAACAAATATAGTATATAGTATATATATATATATATATATATATAT